GGTATGCACAGATACTTGAATCTCATAAATGCTGCTTGGGATTAATATAACATTTTTAAGTTTTAAATTGTATATCAGTTATTGTTTTACACTTTCAAAACTCTTTTTTGACTTAATTGTCTTTCAGATTTTTAAAATCAATGTTTGTTTGTTTGTTGTTTTTTTTTTGGCAACACTACTTTTTTTTCTGTTGCACTCCTGACATGGTATAACATTTTTTCAACATCAGCCATGACCACACAAAAGTTGCTACAGTCTACATTTGAAGCTCAATACTTTGAATATTATCAGAAAAGTCTATTTCTACCATAAACCATTTTTTATTTATTTCGCAGATCTTAAAAAATATATTGAATTTTCAAAATGTCACAAAAAGGTGTTGCACTCCTGACATTTTAAGCATCATTTTTTTATCAACTTTTTAGTGAATTGAGATATCAGTGATATTTGGCAGGTATTTAGACACTCTCTAAAGACATATGCTGAGACATAGAAATTTTTTCTCACTGCCTGAACTTTTAGTGCAGGTTGAAAAATATGGGTTTTGTAATCTATTTTTAATTCACCCACATATCTAATCTACAATATATTCCTGAATTATGTTTTCTACATCTACCAACAACACTATACATAGCATTGGTAGCTTTGTCATATAGATCTTTGGTATATTTATTGAGTTCTTATTGAAAATCGTGAAAGGGGTCTAGATATATTTGTTTGTACTATATATATATAGGTAATTATATAGGTAAAACTGAGTTATTGTTCTTTGGGTAAATTGTCTAGCTTGATCTTATTTTTAGATCAAGACTCCCTGTCTTCTGCATGCATACTAATAAATAATGACGACCCCCCTCCTCAGCTCCACACCCACCAAGAAAATTATATGTAATTAATGAGAAGACTTGAGCAGTAAGTCTACTGTAAAATTACTATAATCTGGTATTGTGCTAGATTCACTTTATCCATAATATGACCCTGCCCATATACATGTACCAATTAACTGACCAAATCCCAATGTCCCATTTCAAACATCAATATAAAGTAGAGATTTAGTGCTTTCATTTCCTATAAAAAAAAAAGTTTCCCCTGAAAGTCCAGGTATTGAAAAACAGGCTTTGCGAAATTGCAATGTTTTTGAATTTTGAAGAAAATGGGTGTATTGTCAAGAGTACCTTCAGCAAAGAATGAAAATATGAGTCCACCCCTCGATCCAAAAAATAAAACACGGATTATCTTCTGAAACAGTTCTTTCATTATATAACATTGAACATTTTGGATCAGAGGTTGAGGTCTATGCAAAATATTGAAAAGACAGCTTAAAATATTGGCCTTTTTTTAACTTTTGGATTTGAGGATAATAACGCAATTCATGACGTCATAATAAAGGGACTAGCAAGAAAAATACGTTATTTTTAATAGTATGTAGTCAAAAGTGAAATATTCAATGTATTTTCAACTAAAACTGAGCAGTTTTGATTTTTTTTTTTTAGACTTTCAGAGGACCAAAAAAGGTCCTAAGTGAACTTTTTTTTTAATTTTCTTTCTCAACCATGCTGAATATAACAGAAAAGTGCTTTTTCGTAACCCTTTTCCTTTTCTCTGTTTTGAACGCCAGCACAGAGAATCAGCATTTGATTTAATATATTTTTTAAAAATTATTGAGAAAATTCCGATACAAAATGAACTGCTACACTGAACTTTTAGCAGATCTTTTCATTTTTAAATTTTTTCATTCCCAATTTAAAAGGGATTGAAAAATGATAAATAGTAACCGCGCTATAATCTTCTTTTGGCGAGGTGGAAATGTAATGAACATGTTGTAATTTTACATGAGCCATATGTATAATTGATAACCACGAACAACATTTCCTGGGTAATTTTAAGGTCAAGATCTAGTAAATGAGAGGTGCCTACAAATTTCTCAAATTTGAAAAACGAATTCTTTTAATGATCCTATACAAATACAGCTTAGTAAAATACGGTGTATCAGGACTTAATTTTTAGCTAAACTCATCGGAAAACATTTTTTAAATTGCCATTTTTTAATGAAAAATGAAGAAACTTGGTATAAATAAGGGAGTTTTTTTTTCATCTCATACAAAGGAAATGTATCAATATTGCCTACAGTCTATCAAGAAATGTTTTTTTTTTAATCTTTTAGACCTCTTCTTTAAAATGATATTAAATTGAATTGATATATCGGGCTTACATTTGACATGATTTCAAATCAAATTCCATGAAAGTACTTAAGTTTATTTTCTACATCATTCTATTGTAGTCGTAAAGTACGGGAAAAATTAAGTTTAAATCAACTGTGATGTCATAATTGATTTGTGAAGAAATTGAAAGGAACAAAAAGGTTCAATTAAGAAATAAACAACAATGTTAAAAAGTTCTCTGGGAAATGAACTTGGTTGGTCACGTGATCAAATCCTGTGAAGCCCGAAGGCTTTTATCATGAAGCGCTAACGCGCTTAATGAAATATGCCGGCGTGATGCGTTGTAGTTCATGTCCTCATGAATCTTCAAAAATTAAATTCATTTCTTAAATATACATGACTGTACTATGTTCTGATATCATGTTCTACCGTATTTCATTAGGGAAATAACTTGATTTGAGCATCAAAGAACGAACAGTCTATAGTTCCTTTGAATTTAAAAGAGTGAAATAATTAAGGAATGTTTGCAGAGTTTTCTTTTTAATTACCTGTACTTTTATTTTTCTCTAATGCCTGCTTGCATTTGTTATCGTTATATTGATTTCAAGTGTTACACAAATAACATAATTATTGATATATGTTTATTTTATTCAATCAACCTAATTATAAAAGAATGATCTCCTGAAAAATCATATTGTAGTGTTTCTTTTATTCTTGCGGTTTAATCTTATTATTGTATATTATTCGATGCCCTTGCTTCAAAAGAGAAACATGTCTCCCACATACATGTATGGAGTGTACATGGATGATTTCAAATATAAATTAGGGATGTCAACGAATATTCGAATATTCATTTGATGAGTTGATATTCGAATATGAACTTAAGATTTGAATATTCGGTGTTTTTTTTCAGATTTCTTAAAAATAAGTACTGTGATTACTAAATAAGTTTTGATTAGAACAGTGCTGGAATTATCCCTGTTTAATTTACTAGCGATCAATTTCGATCGCCTGATTTCTTTCACTACTTTCTTATGTTATGTATCTATTAAATTATTTTGTTTGGGTAAGGTGTTAAAGAATTATACAATAATGCTTCAGGTATAATAATAATACAAAACTTCCTTTCATAGTTTTTATTAAATAAATACGATCGGATCTAGAATTTAGGACAACAAAACGAAAACCTTCTTAGAATGTCTATAAGACGTAAAGAGTATACTATCAAAATAAATTTATATAAATGATCATTGAATGAATGTCCAATAGAATTAGTTTGTAATTAATATTGTAAAGGACCCAATTTCAGAATATATGTGTAAATTACTTGATTATCTCGGGTTGTACATAATTTGAATAGACTTGCTCAAGTCTCTATGTATTAGTTCTCTCTTTCATACTTTTTGATAATGTCAAACACAGTTTGATAACATTTAACTATGAGGGAGAGCAGAGGACAACAAGACAAAAATGAACAAAGAATTATTTAATTAAAAAAACATAGAGACTTGGGCAAGTCTAATAATTTAAATTACATAATTTTATATTCATTATCGAGAAATTAGTTAATTACCTAGGAAAAATATCTATGGAAATAGATGTATTTGTTTATATTTTAAAAACATTGTATCGAAGATTATAATCATATCTCTTATTAGGCTGATAATTGTAATTAATTACACGTATTGAAATCTAAACAGTATATACGACTATCTTGCCTATGGTAAAACGACTGGTTCCCCAGTTGGAGCTACTATAAATACACGTTTCATTTGTTAAATTGATACTTTTCTACATTTAAATCAATTATTTGTTTCAAACATTGACAAATATCAATTGGAATTTCTTATTGTACAGCTACAAAAGTCTTCATACAGTTTTACTTCCAATGTAAGTATACCTACGCTAAACCTTTCATGAGAGTAGGATGATGCATATTTAAAATAAACAAGATTTTATTTATTTTATCGAATATTCGAATACTTTCATTGAATATTCGAATATGAATTATTGACAAAATTGACATCGGATCCCTAATATAAACAGACACTTACTGCACAATTAAACAAAACTTTGGGCTAGAACTTTATTTTTTAATCATAAGAAAATTTGAGAAAAGGAAGATTTTGACAAAATTTCGAATCTCTTACAATCTGATGATTGAAAAGTCGACGTTATGGTATACCAAGAGAAGAGAGAATATGCCCCAATTGTAAATTAAAAGAGGTAGAAGATGAAATAAATTTTCTTTTGGGTTGTCCATGCCATAGTCTATCAAGAATTAATTTACTCTCCACAATATCTCTGAGATCTCATCTTTTTAATAGTATGACTGTCTAAAAATAACCAATTTTTATGGTTAATGAACTGCGAAGATGTTGATGTGCTGTGCAATTTGTGTGAATTTATGTCAAACATGTATGTAGTTAGACAAATTCAAAGTCACATGTAGATATTGACTTTCATTTACATGCACTTTAATTCACTACTTATATTACAGTATGTTATGTTGTTAATATGCGTGTGTTGTTGTATACTCTGCATAAAGCAGAAGTGGATTAAATAAAATAATAATATTATACTATCCTTCAGCACTGACTCTTGCTGTTCATTGCAGTTTAATATAATTTACACGTATGTATACCATGGTATACGATGTACCTACAAAAAATGCTAAATTCAATAAATCAATAAAACCACGTAATCATACTGAAAAAAATACAATCACAGAGACATTTTTTATGTCAGCAGTGTCCGCTTAGAAAGTTTTTGACCTCTTCCCGCGAAAAATTGCCGGAGAACTTCCGGTAAAAAGCAGGAACTGAAAATTGTCACGTGGGCGTTATTTACAAACACTTGCAATGAGCGAATGACTTCACAAAACAGTTAAGCCACAAAACAATCGTCTGTCTGAAGCCGGTTCATTTACTGAACATGGCGCTAAAGGACACGATTATATTATGGAACGATGGCATAAATTCATATCTAGAGGAGGAATTTGAAGAGGCTATTTCTAAGTTTCAACAAATCGAAAATCCGAATGCTCGCATCCTTTACAACATCGCCTTTACACATCTCCAATTAAACAGATTAGAGGATGCAGTGAAGGTATGCTTAAAATTATAACCAATCTCTCTCTCTCTCTCTCTCTCTCATCGTCGCAAACCGCGGTTTTGAGTCCACAAGTCTGATAAGACGATAGAGAAAAATCATATAGGTTTACATATTTATAAACAAATACCCATTAGTACCTGTGCTCATCCCCTACCCCCAACCCCATCCATCAGCTATTTCCACGCCCATATAAATACACACACGCCATATATCTTGAGAACCAGCAGTTTTTTGTGGGGGGGGGGCTGAAATGGCATAAATTGATCCAGTATTACTTGAAAAATAAATTTTAGTTGTGAGTTACTACAGAATTTTTTTTAAAATCAATTCAAGTAGTATGAAGTACTTAACCTCTAGGCCATTCATTTTTTTCTAAGTAAAGAGTCCACTTGCTGTTTGTTTTTTTTGTTTTGTTTTTTTTTACATAAAAAGCCAATGTTCAACAGAGGAAGATTTGAAATTGCTTACTTGAAAAATCAGTTTTTGTTAATTTAGTATTTCTAACTAGTAAATTAATCCAGCAAAAGAGAGATTATGGCCTTGCTTTTATGCATAATTTCAGTGCTTTTAGTAGTTTGGGTGCATTATACAAAAAGTTTCTTTTGATGTTCAAAACATTATGTATTTTGCCTGTAGCAATACTTTCAGAAATGAAAGAATACTCAAATTGCTTCATTTTCCTCATCAAAACTTGAAACTGAATAGTGAATATAAAGTGCCCGTAACCTGATTAAAGTTCATGAATTAAACATTATAAGTGATGATCTAGTTGATTTTAACTGAAACCACAACTTTGGAAGAGTTAGATTTGAAAACAACCAATAGAGCAAATTTGAAAGTGAATTTTTAAACCTTGCAATAGCAAAACTACAATTAAAAATTGTATTCACTTATCCACTGGCTGTGAGTGGGATAGCTCTTTTATCAAATCTGTGTCAAGAACTATTCCCAGAGGGCTTGCCCGAGGGGATTAGTTCCTGTCAAGGGTTTGATGAGAGAGCTATTCCTCTCACAGCCAGTAAATAAATATTTCATTATACTTTATTTGTATATTATCATTTCTGAGGGGTAGATAGTAAACACCTACATGTATTCACTGGCTACTAGGACAACAGCAAGTTTATCATCCCTCAAGAAGCAACTATTTCAATCCGCTGTGCCTCATGAAATAGTTGCTGTCTTGGGGGACAATAAACTTGCTATTGTCTGAATAGTCAGTAAATAGGTGTTTTATTATACCAAAGCAGACAATATTTCTGTCACCTCATGATCCAATAAAACCAAAAGAGCTCCAAGATAAAATTCGAGGGAAATGGAATGCTGCTGGTGAATAGTTTGATGACTGTTTCACCATGGGCGAATAGCTCAAAAACTTTTCCATGGTAGGGGCTGTTTAGAAAAAATAGCAGGTTTATTCGTCATATTCTTAATTCAAAAGAATTCATGGTATAATAACAAAAACTATACCCTAGGGTATAGCTTTGTGGAAATCTTCAGTGTTGGAAAGGTAGCCAACCAATCATATTGCATGAAATGAAAATTTAGCGCCAAAATGTGAATGAAAAATTTCTGAGAGATGGGTAACACAAACTCTACCCCAGGATATAGCTTTGCTATATATGTGAAAATTTTCAGGCTATATATTAAAAAAATTAAGTTATTTTATTTTCTAAACTGTATCAATATTGGACACATTTCAATAGAAGTATAATAATGAAACCTGTCTAATTTGATATATGCATTAGGACAAAAATTGAATTCAAAGTGAAACAGATAACACAAGTGTCAGATTAGACAGTTTTTACTCACCTATAAGGCCATTCCAATTTTACTCACCTATAAGGCCATTCCAATTTTACTCACCTATAAGGCCATTCCAATTTTTTCTATGTTGAGTGTCCACCCAAAACTCAAAAACCTATCTTTCTATCAGGAAGAAAACCAAACAAAATGCAGCAATATTTATTAAATTTATAACTATCATTTGAGAATTCTTTTTATAATGTAAGAAAAATAAATGATATTGTTATCATTTAATTTCTTTAAAATAATTGATTCTGATTGGATAAAAAATTCTTTTGATAACTGCATCAATAGAATTTGGAGTTCGCTTGCACTCAGCAGCCGGAACTACTTTGCCTGTCTTTACATGTGTATTTCCCGCTTCCAGAAGTTCATGAAGGAACAATTGAATACCTTTTCTCTAATAGATATATTCCTGAATTTCGAAACTTGTCCGTTACGTTCCTGACTTATTGTCTACTTTCGTTTCTTTTTGAATTATCCCCCTTTGCTAAACAAATCAGATCGTCTGCATGACAACAATACAGTAATGGGAAAGAAAGAAAGAAATCAGCATACCTATGTTAAATGTTTGACTTTGAGATAACTGGTATGAACAATAGAACTGTGAAGAAATGTTTTTATGCTACCAAAGCGGGGAAATGCCGTTAATCTGTTAATTCTTAGGAATCGAATGTTCGAGAAAAACGACACGGCATGAAGGGCGCTGCATGAATGAGGACGGAATTCTTTCAATGTTAAACAGTAGGCAACAGACTCTTTCAGATTTTACAGCATGGACAGGCTGTGATACATATTTATATGTTCGGTTTGAAATTCAGATGAAGAGATGCGCAAATGAAATTCAAAATTTCTGTGACCTATAGAAAGAGTTGTTAGGATATCTGAGTAGCATCCCTTGAAATTTACGAACCGGGGAAAATATACCCATTGGGATATAGCAAAAAATTAATAACACAACAGGTAAGTTTTTTGTGTTAAAGAACTGTTAATTATTGTTAGAAAAGGCTGGTAGTGACACGACAATATTTGAGAACGTTGTTTCTTCGTTAGGCCTATAGCCATTTTGAAATTCAGCAACATTGTTGTGATATATTCCTACGCACTGTTTTTGATGCGTAAATTTTATAGTAAACTGAGGGAAAGTTTCATTTTATTATTTTAAAATCATAATTAAATGATAAGAAATGAATGCATTGATGACGTTTTCCGTCCAAATTTTTTCTTTGATACGTCGGTCAAAGAAAAAAATATTACATTCATTTCTTAAATACCTTTAAAAATTAGCTCCTATATAAATATATACTAAAAAAAAAGTCTAACATTCCTAATGTTTTACTGAGCGGTCATAAAAAAATCCATGTTTGACCGCAGAGTGAGATATTGGACCTGTGGACAAGATATTGGACTGCTTATGTCACATTGTGGGCAGGATTATCTAAATCTTATTTGCATTCTTTAGTATGGAAGCTAGCAGCAAAAGAGAAATGTATAATTTACTAGATGAAATCCCGCGCAAGCACGGGGAATTGAATTTTTTCTTCCACTGACAGAAAATATTTTGTAGTTTCTACTGACAGCCTACAGGCTTATAACAGGAAGGAATACTTTGTTCAAAATCCCGCATGAAGTAGATGTACGTATCCACCCCACCCCCACCCCCTTTGTAAAAACTTGAAAATTAACAATTTCATTAATTGACGTTTATTGTGAAACTTGTTATACTATGTTATGGATATTGTACTTCAGATGCTCTTATTTCATTTCCGTCAAGGATAAAAGCAGTGAATATGCACATTTTACTGATAAATTGATTTGGGGGGAGGGGGGGTCAAAATGCACAGGTACTTGGGTCTTGGTTTATAAATATGTTTGTACCTTACTGATATGTAAATAAAGTACTTTACTTTTTAACATATCAATAAGGTACATACATATTTATAAACCAAGACTCAAGTACCTGTGTAAAATAAGCTTTTAACGCCCTATGAATAGGCCAAGTATTTGATACAAAAGACTTTTTTCAGAAAAAAATGAAATGTATTGATTAAAGCACAAAATTTTACATCTTTAATTGTTTTCGAACAATACCTTAGTCATTAATTTTCTCTTTACATGTAAGCAAATTTATTACGACGTACAAATTGTACTTCGAGTTCGTTGCCACGATGCTCTCAGTAAGGAATATATACATTTTACCGATAATTTTATTAGGAAAACGTACTATACATACATGTATATATATGTAATAGTCTTTCGATATATAAATATATTCACAGTTTATAGTGTTGTCAATGATTTACCATTATTTCAATGACCAATCACACAAAAGCTTTTTTTTATGTTATGCAGCTAAAAGCGCCTCGTTTTTTTAATGTCGGGCTCGATGCTATATGGTGTTCTAGAAGCTTCCATCAATATTAAGATCGGTGAATGACGAAAATAATTTGCACATTTCCCCTTTTACTCGGTTATCACAACTTATTTCTTTTATATCATTTAAATCAAGTTTTGATCGAATTATTCAGTGATGACATTTTATGAAATAAATAAACGATTGCTTGTTGTCAGTTTCATTAAAAATTGCCAGTAACTTAGATCCGCCAACCGGAAACGCCACCGTACTCGCGTTTTGCTATTTCATGGCTGTTTATAGAAAATAAAAGTAGACATTTAATTTAATGTACGATACTTACTATGTGAGTGAAATCTAAATATAGTTTACAGACATCATCTTGTATCTAGTGTATTGTTAGAGGAGTAAGTAAGAACTCTGGTGCACCTGTTTTGGAGTTTATTTGCAAAATTTATTAATTTATAAGTATAGATTACAAAAATAAATAAATAAATAAAAGGTATAACAAAATATTTATTGACTGGGTTCTCGTGCAAATGCGTTTTGTCGACCCCTCAAACCAAACTGTTTGCCTGAGGCCGTTATTCTTGGGTCCGACAAGACGCATGTTGCCCTCGAACCCAGTCAATAAATGTATAGTATGATCTTTGACCCAAAACTTTTAAAGAATGTAAAAAAAAAAATTGATAGGTCTATTCAGTTAGATTTAAAATCAATGCAAATTTTTGTAAGTCTGGATTTTGTTTGTGTTTTTTTTTTTTCAAACCCCAAAACTAATCTCCAAGGATGGTAAAAAGAGAAAAAAAATTGGAATGGCCTAATGCTATTGTATGGTAAACATCCCCCCTCATTTACCCCTTTAGAGTTATTCAGAATGCAAAGAGACTTAACTGAACAGTGGAAAAAATAGGATATGATGAAAATGAACTGCTAGTCTACACATATACAGGAAGAGTGATCTTGTGTAATAGAGATGTTGATCAACAAACCATCATAAACTATTGCTGTTTATAAATTACATACATTGCATCCTGATTGACAAATAAGCCTCCCACTTAGGTTAGTTAATCATCTGGTACTTCCGTAATATGGTACTGTTTATCAGTATTAGATCTGAGAAGCTATATTCTCCAGTGCTGAAAGTATAAATTTGGAGTTTAATAAGATAAATTATCAAACCCTATCAATTTCTTTAAGGACAAAAACATTCAAGTAGATGATATGGATTGAGATGTGACGTATATCTAATCTATGTCCATAGTTACTAAACATCCTGCACGTATCAAGATGGAATTTCCTTCTCTAGATAATTTGTGCCTCAATCTCTATGAGCATTCTATAGTGAATAGTATGTTTAGCTGTCTGTCTTTCCATCAGTTATTAATTAATTGCATGTTCTCAATATATTCTCTCCCCTTAGCCAAATCAGCTTATACTAGTATTTCATCCATACAAGTCTCCTAAATGAAGGGTGTGCAGTGACAAATCTAACCATAATCTAATCTAATCTAACCAATTAGGAGTACCATTTAGGTTAAAGGTCAAGGTCAAAATACTGGTAGGTATCTGTATAGAATCTTGTCGGTACTTGTAGCTTATTTTCTCTCCCCTTGGCCCAACCTAGTTCATTAACTTCCCCTTAAGAGTGCCATTCTGTGTTAAAAGGGCCTGCAATGACCTTGAACTAACTTGTTGTAAGACAGTAAGAGGTCAAGGTTGAAACAGATCTTTGTGTAAAATCATGTTCGGTATTACAATAACTTTGTGGAAGGTGTCTGAAAACCTGAATAATAGATAAAGATATTACCTGCAAAGAAGGTAAAAATTTATCATTTTTATCATAGATACCAAAATAAAAGTGAATTATGCTGATATCATGCATATGATGGTCTGATAATCAGAAGTCACTGTGGTGTTATTGTATGATAATACATTACAGTATTTGAATATAACTTCTTTGCAGAATTTCAAAGAAACAGTTCAAAAAGACCAACACTTGGCCATTGCCCATTTCTGTAAAGGACTTGTAGAAGCAAAGCTCCACAGGTACAGAGTACATGTTTTAATGTTTTAACTTTAACTAAGATTTTACTGGGTAATTATAGAAAGTGGAAATACAGTTTTACATGTAGATCTATATGTAAGATAGGAATTACTTGGAAAATTCTGTTTTTGGGCCAGCAATCTCCCAAGTTGAGTTTGAAAATCAATTTTAAAAAAAAGAAAAAAAAGAAGGATTCAGGGATTCGTGAACAAAATCCTCTTTGATTAGCAACATTGAGATGCACCATTTTTTTAATTTCCTGATTTAAACATAAGTTTCTCACAAGCTGATTATAAAAGAGATAAGGAGAATGTCACGTAGGGATGCAAGTACTAATTAAGTAACAGTCCTCTCTGTGCTAGCTGGGAGCACATTACTTAATGCCTTTTGCAAGTATCATTCTAATATTGGAATGAAAAGCTTCATGTATTGGCCTAACCCAAATAATTTCAATTGGTGTAATGGCTCTTATTGCATATGAATGCACATTTGTGTGTATGTCCAGAGTAAACTATGCACATTTTCATCTCACTCTTCATTATTGCTGAGCCTATTTCAACCAAACTGGCATTCTTAAAGGGGACACAAATTTCTTTAAATGAAGGACCATACCATTTTACAAAATAAGATAAAAGAGATGAAAATAGGGTGGTTTCAGTAAGGAATCTTTTTCTCAAAACCCCTCGCAAGATGAAGACGCAATAATATAAAAGTATATATATACAGTCAAACCTAATTTGTTATCTCGAACTCAATAGGACAAAGTAAAAACGTCAAGCTATCCAAAGATTTGAGGTATCGAGGGTAAAATACTTAAAGAATAAGTGATAGCTAGGGAACTTCCAAATCACTTTGACATATCCATGGTATTCAAGATATCAAAGTTTGAGATACCAAGGTTCAACTGTAGTTATATATCAACCTGAACGTAAGTCAGAATGACATATATTGTTATTGCTAAACCTATAATTTTGTCTCAGCATTTTCTTTGACATTACTTCGACAATCTTAATGAAACTTTTCAGAAATGATGAACTAAGAATTTGAGATTTTTTCTTGGTAGAAAATTTCCTGTCATTTGATCATTCAAGACAACATGGGCTACTGCTAGCAATGGTAAACAATCTAGTTTAGATTCTGAATTTGTTCAGATTTGTTCAAAACTTCAAATCATGGCCCCCTGGCCATAGGGTTCCTGTTAATAATATTAAGGTGCAAACATTCATGTACTGTAGATTCAAGTTTGTTGAAGTCATAGTCACCAGAGCAAGGGTGGAGTCACAATAGGGGTAAAAATAACACATGTTAAGATAAAGAATTTTAAAAAAATTTCTTCTACAACAACAGAGCCACGGTTAGCTGCATTAATAATATGCAAGCATGAATTCCTATGTTGTGTAAAAACAAGGTTTTTTTGAAATCACCATGCATTCCCAGGATAAGAGCAGGGTCACAATGAGGGTTGTCAAAGTTTTATAAAATCTAAGATTGTTGAAATCTGAACATTGCAGCACTTGGATTTCATGTGTTATAAATTTGTATTCATAATGACTATATGTATAATATTTATATTTGCCCAGTTACACCTGAATTGGTGTGATAAGATAGGCTGTACAATATACCGTGCTGTTTATCATGTAAACATACTTGGCCCAAGTGCATTTGTACTCATAAACATAAATGTAGTTGCTTAGAATAGTGACCTCTACTTCCTTCATTGTTTGTGATTATAGAGATTAATCATGTAATATATGATATGTAATATGTAAACACAACAAGTCATGAAATATTTTTTAATCATTTTTTAGTGCAATTTTTGAAATTTACAAAAGGGAATTTTCTTTATTGAATTGATACATAAAGATTAATTTTATATAGAACTTTTAATAAAAATATTTTTACCTGTGAAACCAAAAATGCTCAAAGTACTAAATATCGTACCTCAACATTTTAAAATATTTTCATCTAGATACAGAGAAGCCATTGCAGATTTTGACAATGCTGTGGAGAAACTAAGATCAGCAAGCTTTATAGATTACAACCAGCTAGGAATGGCATACAAGCTGACACTATCTGAGGTACAGTGAAAACTAGGGAATAAATAAACAACAACTGGTGTGCGAGGCTTATTTACACATGGTGCATATGCACCTATAATAGATATTGTAATTTAAATGAAAATAGGGAAAAAATAATGACATGACTCAAGATTTTCATTACACATATATGCTGGTCATCATCTACAGTAGCACTTGTTTATAGACTATTTTTTCACATTAATTGCCCTAAAACTACTGCAGGCATGTATCCTTCAATTTTTTATGGCCCCGTAATCGAAGATTCAAGGGCATATATTTTTTGCTTTGTCCGTCTAGCTGTCTGTCTGCAAAAATTTTAACCTTGGCCATAACTTTTGATTGGTTAGAGCTAGCTTTCATATTTCACATGTGTATTCCTTATGACAAGACCTTTCTTTGGGTACCAACATACAGTGTACTGTACATGACCTTTTGACCTTAACCTTGGAGTTTGACTTGCTTTTGCAAAATTTTACCTTGCTCATTACTTTTGAACAGTTGGTGACATTTGCATTCCTTGTGACAAGACCTTCCCTTGGATACCAACAATTTGACCTTTTGACCTTGACTGTGGAATTTGACCTACTTTTGGAAAACTTTAACCTAGGTCAAAACTTTGGAACAGTTGGTGCTAGGGCTTTCGTATGTCACGTGTGTTCCTTGTGACAAGACCTTTCCATGGGTACCAACAACTTTGACCTTTTGATGCTGACCTTTGACCTTTTGATGCTGACCTTGGAGTTTATACTTTTAAATCTTCAACCTTGGCCTTAACTTTTGAATGTTTAATGCTAGGGCTTACACTTGTTCTGTGTATTCCTTATGACAAGACCTTCCCTTGGGTATGAATATTTTTTATCTTAACCTTGGAGTTTGACCTACTTTTGAAAACTAAAACCTTGGCCATAAGGTTTGAATGGTTGGAACTAAGGTTTTCATATTTCACGTGTGTATTCCCTGTGAAAAGTTTAATCTACTTTTCAGTTTTGAAAACCTTTAACCTCTTTAATCTTTAATCTTAGCTATAACTTTTGAACAGTTGGTTCTATGGTTGTCATATTTCAAAGGCATATTCCTTGTGACAAGTCCTTTTCTTAGGTACCAAGATTTTTTACCTCTTGATGTTAATCTTGGAGTTTGACCTATTTTTGAAAAAATTAACCTTGACCTTAATTTCTGTGTGTTTGATGCAAGGGCTTTCGTATTTCATAGGTGCATTCCCAGTGACAGCTAGACCTTTCTTTGGGTATCAACATTTTTTGATCTCTTGACTTTGGTGTTCGACTTGAATTTGAGAAACTTTAACCTTCACCATGAGCAGACCTGCCATATGGGGGCATCAGTGTTTCACAAACAGTTAACACATCTTGAAATATGAAATATGAATTAAATGAATTATGAAATAAACTTAAGAAGCTGAAAATATCACATTTGAATCTCAGTATATATATTTATTGGTAAACATAGTATCTTTGTACTGAATATTGATACAAGATTTTAGCACAGTTATTAACCCTCTGCAAAAGGAACATTTACTTTCTGTCTTAAATTCTAATTGAAAGTATTTCTAACCCCCTAAACACCCATTTCATTTCCATATCCTACTTTTCAAAGTGTTCATCTTTATGAAACTGTGTTTACACTCAATTAAAAAGTAAATACTTTTGCAGCTGTAAAGCTCTGGTTTGCCTACTTTCTCCTCAAAGTAATTTTACATGAAATTCATGAAGTAAATAAAATTCCACATTTTCCCAACAGATTTGGATTGCCAAGGCTACCACTATGAAAATGATGGGTAGAGGACAAGAAGCGGAGGAGTTTTTGGTCGCTGTCACTAAACAGGAAGATGACGATACGACCAGAAGGAACTGTATCCAGGCACTACAAAAATTACAGGTCAGTAAGGAAGTATTTGTAATCAAACAGTATGAGTGTGCTGTAAAAGTGCACAGAAACTTTCATTGGTATTAAAACTTCTCTCTACAATTTTATTTTTACAGGCCCTGTACCTTGTACAGGAAAGAGATTTTTGAATTCTGAATTTATTTTTTTTTTTATTAAGCTATTAGTACCTGCTTGTTACAGTGTATAGAATACAGTAAATCTTGGGATATGTGAATTGACTTCCCTGTATGCATAATTTGTTATTTTGGTATAACAAATTATATATAAAAGTATATAAGGTAAACTTCAATATCTCGAACTTGTCAGGACTGAGGGGAAACTTCGAGATATCCAAGTGTTCAAGATATTGAAATTGATGAATTTGGTACCAATATTGCAATGTTTCATGTTCTATTAACAGGGAATTACCCCCCCCCCCCTTTCCCCCATGTGCATAATTTAGGTGGTAAAGGTTTCAGTTCGTACTTAGTAATTATCTTTTTAAAAATGCATTTGCATATACACTTATAATGCATATATTATTTTATTTAATACTGCAACACATACATTTTACAAATTTCCATTGCTTTCATAGCGATAATCATGCTTGTTTCAGGATTTCTGATACCTGGATATGTGTTACACTTTGTAAATGATAAAATCGATCACTGTAATAAGGATTAAGATGGAAACAGGAATTAAAATTTATCATTTAGTGTAAATTCTGGATGGCCATTTTATTTCCATGATATCAATACATTTGCTTATCAATTACAGGATATGAAAAAAGAGGTATCGGCATTAAAGAGACGGCACTCTCTACGCAGTCAAAGTTGGTATCATGGTCGTCTACTGAGACAGGAGGCAGAGAAAATGCTACGCAATGAAGGTGATTTCCTAGTCAGAGAGAGTCTTAACAAAAAGAAAAACACGTCACAATACGTCCTGTCTGTCCTGTGGCAGAACTACAGACACATTCTGCTTATACAGGATGATGAGGTACATGTTATATAAAGAAAATCTAATTAATTTGTAAATATGGAAATGTTCACATGAGGGTGATCTTAGAAAGTTTTGCAGTGGGACTGCAAATGCACCTCCTAGGCTTATAAAAAATACCTCATATAAAATTATAAGGGTTTTGATATTTAAACATGTATAACAAGTTCCATTTGCTTTCTTTTCATAACGTACCACTACTTTTTGTGCAAAAAAAATTATCCCAGCAACACTTTCCACATTTCCATTTTTTGTTAAATTTTTTTTAATGTCCATTTGATAGAAGAAGTTCATAGTTTTCTGAATTAGTTGAATTAAGTCTATAAGAGTAATCTTTTTTAGCTGAGTGAGAAGAGACCTTGATAAAAATATTGCAGATAAATGTGAATTTTAAAAAAAAATGTGGTATATTATATTAACATTTCTTAAATTTTACAGGGTTACTGGAAGTTTGAGAGTTTCTCTTTTCCTTCCATTCAAGAATTGATAGAATACCAACACAGCAGTGGTAAACCAGTAACCAAAAAATCAAGGGCCCTGCTAAAAAATCCGGTTGTCCAGTCAAGTGGGGTGGAGGAGGTCAGTGGATTGGTTATTGTTTTGTGCAATAGAGTTTAAATTTACATATTTTTGCAAGTCACCATATTTTAAAATACTTGTGTTTTACCCTGGTCAATATATTATAATAAATTCTAACTGGCAGTGAAAGATTTAAAAACTTTCATTCTTTTACCTATGTAGGAAGCTCCTGAGTTGTATGAGTTACCAGATTCTTGTATATTTCATCCACCAAAGGAACTGCTCAAAAATATAGATAAAAGAAATTACCTTGGCAAAGCAAGGGTAAGATTTAAAATATAAATAATACTGGTAGTTCTGTATAATGACAGTATTTAAAAATTCATCTCATTCATAATTACCTCTACAATTTGTAATGCATATATTTTTGCAGCTACTGTATGCAGGTAATTTTTTGACCCCGTTTTATTTTTACTCCTCTTGCTTTCATTGTAAGTGGGTGAATTTAAAACGGGGTGAATTCAAAGGAAACAAAATCATCTCTTTAATACAACTCTCTCTGCATGGGTGAATTTTAAATAGGGGGAATTCTTTGAAGTGTGAAAGGGTGAAATTAACCCTGTGAACAGTATTTAAAATCAAGTAAAATATTTTCATTCTTCTAAATCAGGTGGTTTCAGCTTTGGGTCAAACTGTACGAAGGAAACAGAGACCATTTGGCAAAGCAGATGATGGAGAAGATGAGAACTTTGAAAGACCTGATCAAGGCAGCCCACGTAGTTCAACAGACTCACTCCCAAAACCACGGCCAAACAGGCCACCTCCTAAGTCACCCCTCGCACAGCATAAACGCATGTCCGAAACATCCAACATATCATCATCTAGTCAGAGCTCAGAAGACTCGGTGCGAACTTTTTATTCTCGTAGGCCACCCCCTGCATTACCCTCCATAGCTCGGAGTATCAGCAGATCAATGGAGGACTTGAGCATGCAGGATGAATTAGCTGAATATGAATCAGAACCATTTAATCGTGCTAGGCCATCAGTCCCACAAAGGGCCAGAATGTCTGCTGATTTAGAACATATTTATGTTAATACAATGAATACTCAAAGACCGATAGGCAATAATAATTTTAACAATGAACTAGCGAGTGCTTTAAATAAAAGGCTAGGGAAAGGCAACTCTGAAGGTTCAAAACCAAGTCGACCCTCAGCACCAGCAAGGCCTCCACCTCCAAGGAGGAACTGAATGGCTTTAAGTTTACTGTTAAAATATGAATTCATTGAAGAGTTCATCAAGTACTTTTTGAAAATTTTGTAGCATTATAGGAATGATATTAAAGAATTATTTTCAATCCTTATTTTATGCAAGAAATGAATATATATGACCAGATTGCTCTTAAACATCAAATCTTGAAATCGTGAATTTGCAAGTGGGCTGCTGATTAAGAGTTTTTACAAGTATTTCAGCAATATTAATATAAAAAAAAAATTGAACAATTTTAGTTTTCAAATGGTGCTCCTCGCAAAGCTACCTAGCTTTTATTAAGACATCTACTGTATAATGCACTGAATTTTTAATGTGTCTTAGTGTGATGTCTTAATATAGGTCTTAGTGTGATGTCTTAATATAGAGGTGAAAGTTTGAAGCTCTTAACATTGGCATTGGTATATGAAATGATTTTTTTTTTTCCTGAAAAAATTCAAACTCACTTTTATATTTTAATTCCATTACAATTAAGTTTCTTTCACATAATGTACATACACATGTACATGTATGTTAGGTTGAACACTAGTTGTTTTATGAAAATGCATTACATGTATATACATTTATTTGCTGCAACTATTTTGTTACAATGCTTTAATATACTCTAAAATGTAACTATATACAAGGATTACATGTATATCATGTGATTAGGCTTTAGGAGAGGTGGGATGGATCTGTAGTTAATTTTGCAGCAAGAAAACTGCAGGAAGCTGCATTTTTTACAGTCTGTGTGTGTGTGTGTGTGCGTTTAATATGGTAATGTTACTTATTGTCATTTCTACAAATATTAGATTTTGCCATATCAATTACTTTTTGAAGATGTAGAAGTAGAAGTTTTTGATGTTATTTATCTTTTGTATTTAATGTTTACATATACATGTACATTTATAAATGGGGAGGGGGGGCTGATACACAGTTGTACATGCATTTCCTTATATCTATCAAAATTTTGTTTCATTGTTATTATAAATAACACATTTGCCTTATGGATTGATCATGATGTATGTTCAAAGGTAAAATAGTGCCAACCTTTAATGTATTTTATCCTTTTTTAACATGGATAAAAAATCACTACCCTGTGCCTTAACGAGATGAATTTATATTTACTAGTAATCAAATAAAATGTCTCCTTATATTTGGTGTGTACATTTTATGCTTGTATTTCTGAATTTTCATATGTTTAGAGGTTATTTAGTAGGAACTAATGTAAAAGCCTGTATTAAGCCCTGCAGATGCAATATTTTGAAACTCAAGAACAGATCTGGGAGACCCCCCCCCCCCCCCCCCCCCCCCGCTTATCTTTCAGAGCTTTATTTAAGGGACATTCTACTTAAAGTAAAATGTTTCACACATTTTTGAACAAAATGCAGAAGACTGAGAGTGTAAAAAATCCAATATCCTCCGTATTGCATCTTGAAATTAATCAGTTGAAAGTACATGTATGGTAGAATTCAAAGATTAATAACTACAGTGTTCCATTGGTGGAATATTTTGAATATGAAGTATAGGGTATTGGGATATTTTAGGACCGAATGCAAAAATAAAAATATTCAAATCAAATACGTCACCTTGCAAAACGTTGGGAAAACTTTCTATTGAACTTACTTCTCTGACTGCATCCTCCCCGAAATCAAACACTGCATCAATGTCCATGTTGGTTATACTAGAAAAAGAGTAACTAGACCTGTGATTGTCAGGATCATACATCTAACACTGTTTATGAAGTGATTATTGTTACGTCATATAATTTGTTACGTTTTATCTTGTCTCCGAATAAATTGTGACGTCAGTAACAAAGATTTCGACCACCTAAGCCCTTTCTAGATCATTAATACTTTGTGACATAAGTAGTTAATTAGAACAAAGATTATCCATTGGCATACTTAATGAACTCTTGGTTTCCGAGGCCTCTTTACACATTAGAAGCAAATTTAAAGTATATTTTTATTGCAATATGGGTTACTGTACTAAGTAATTACAATATGTAACTAACTTTATCAATTTTAGATATTCAACTTTTTTAAAATGTCTGTCAGATGTTGACCGTGTTATTTGCGCAGGGGACGTTTAGAAGATTTAATCTATCGTCATCAACCCCATCGTCGCAAATCACGGCCAAAATGTACGATCCTCTCCCATTCTGGGAGAGAGCTAGATAGGAACTCCGGACCGTGGCTTGAGACGATGAATCAACCCATTTGCTTAAGAAAACTTTATAGTGAAAATGCCTAAGTTCACATTTCAATATTCTCGGTTTTGCATCCTGAAATTGTACTCTTTGACATTAGGAAAATTTTCAAAGATTAAATGCAGAGTGTCAGTGGAATATTTTGAAATTGAGAAATGGGTGGGGGCCTTGGGACATATAAAAATATTTAAATACATCTGTATGCAAAAACTTTCTATATCCAAAACGGCATAATCATGTTAACTTAGGCATAATCATGTTATTCAATTCCGCGAATGGATTAAGTTTGACGCTGTACACGTTAACGTTTACGTTTCTTTTCCTTTTGAAGGATGTTGTTTTCACGTATATTTAAGTACTAGTATATAATACCAGAAACAAAAGAAATATGAAAGGAATTTATATTAAAAATATGCTGTTTATTCCGTAAATGTACTAATTTTTCCTGTTTTCACATATATCTAAGTATATAATACCAGAAACAAAAGAAATATGAAAGGAATTTAAATTAAAAATATGCTATTTATTCCGTAAATGTACTAATTTTTGCTGTTTTCACGTATATGTAAATATATAATACTGCAAACAGAATAAATGGGAACTAATGGAGAAGGAATTAAAAGGAAAAATACCAAAATATGCTTTTTAATCCGTAAATTGTATTACATGTATTTCTAATATTTTATATGTAAAGTACGTATTTTTAAATAACGGGTTATGCCATTTACGGAATAAACGGAATTTTACTTATGTTTTTAATCTTGCAGTACAGATACTTTATCCATTTTCTATTTATTTCGTATTAGATGAAATATAAAGAATTAACATATTAATTTGTATGCCATTTACGGAATAAACGCAGTATTAAGAGGGCTGGGTGATGAGTGAATATTTTGAGACTCAAACAAAGCGCCGATGACTTTGTAGAACAATCAAAGACGCTTTTCAATACTGCTTAGCAGTGCTTGTTTAGTGAGATAAGCTCACGCTAAGTCCTTTACACGCGATATTACCGTTATTTACTCTAACACATGGTCATTTGTGAATGTCTCTCTAACGTCTTATATATAGTATACAAGCCTGTTACTCGTTAGCATTGCTTAAACATTTACATAATATAAAGCAGAAATCAATGATCGTTTTGTCTACGTTGTTCAAAGGGACATAATTTGATTATCGAACTTTGAAACAAAACTTACATTATGCAAATTTCCAAATAAACATTCAATCACAAGGACAAATTGTATATAAAGGCTGTCTTTGGAGGGTGGATGGTGGGGAATATTTCTAATACATTGGCAAGTAAAGTAATTCTGCTTGTTTAAATACAAGCAGAATTGCACCATACTGCACTCTGCTGCAATACAATGCGATATATTGTGATGCCTGCCAAATTAATTGTCCAATCAAAATTAACTTAGTCAATTTTTTTTCCTTAAGTGAATTTAAAAACTGGTTGAATACACACACTTTTTTTCATTTTATGCTTTGAAAAAAAGGCTTCAAAAACAGACTAGAGAGCATTTCTTTTACTCTCATATTTTTAAATATTTGTTTTCTTTGATAGGAATCAAAATTAACTATCAGCAATTAAGTCGAAGGACTTTTGCAAAGTTACGTGTTGCTGTTTTTTTTATCGAATGACTAGTTTGGGTATGTGCAAAAGATCCAAAAGAAATGAACACTCTTTTTTGACTGATGAGTGGATTTTTTTGTTTGCAAGAGAATTCATACTGTTTACCATAATAAGAATTTAACTGCATGCATTTTATTGCACTGCGCTACAATGCAATGTCAATCAATAAAATGAAGTCCATTTTTGTTTTACATTATGGTATTGAAAATAAGATGTAAATTAACATATTTTCTAATAAATCTTTTATTCTCATATTCTTAAATATATGTTTTCTTCAATACAAATCAAAATTAACAATCGGTAATTAAGTCGAAGGACTTTCGCAAAGTTACGTGTTGCTGTTTTTTTTTTTTTTTTATCGAATGACTAGTTTGGGTATGCACAAAAGTTCCAAAAGAAATGAACACTCCTTTTTGACTGATGAGTGGATTTTTTTGTTTGCAAGAGAATTCATACTGATTACCATAATAAGAATTTAACTGCATGCATTTTATTGCACTGCACTACAATGCAATGTCAATCAATAAAATGAAGTCCATTTTTGTTTTACATTATGGTATTGAAAATAAGGTGTAAATTAACATATTTTCTAATAAATCTTTTATTCTCATATTCTTAAATATTTGTTTTCTTTGATATGAATCATAATTAACAATCGGTAATTAAGTCGAAGGACTTTTGCAAAGTTACGTGTTGCTGTTTTTTGTTTTGTTTTTTTTATCGAATGACTAGTTTGGGTATGCGCAAAAGATCCAAAAGAAATTAACACTCTTTTTTGACTGATGAGTGGATTTTTTTGTTTGCAAGAGAATTCATACTGTTTACCATAATAAGAATTTAACTGCATGCATTTTATTGCACTGCACTACAATGCAATGTCAATCAATAAAATGAAGTCCATTTTTGTTTTACATTATGGTATTGAAAATAAGGTGTAAATTAACATATTTTTTAATAAATTTTTATTTTTAAAAAAGTTTTGAAAAACAGACTGGATGGAATATTTTCATTCACATTTTCTTATATGATTGTTCTCTTTCATGTGAATCTAAATTAACAATGGAGTAATAACGTCGAAGGATTTTTCGACAATTTTTTTCATTGCTGTTTATTATTTTATGCAACGCCTAGTTTGGGTATATGAAAGATTGAAAAAGAGAGAAATCTCATGTTTGACTGCCCTGTGATGAGTGTAAATTTTGAGAGTGATGCAGATAAGCAGATAACAGTACTTATAGAGCTAAGTTCTCATCAAAGAACAGTTACATTGCTGATTTTTTTTTATTGAAAGTCAAAAAGACCGATATGGATGTATGCAAAACACCCCGAGCAAAATTGGAGTGTCAAGTGAAGTTCTTTAATTGCAAGCTAATTAATTTTGCTTTTAAATAAAAATATAAGTGTCCTACAATACATTGCATTGTAATGCCTGATGTACTGTCTAATTAAAACATACTTGGTCAATTTTTATTATTAGGCAAAACAGTGAAAAAATATAAACTTTCCTGTTTGACTGATGAGTGAATATTTTGAGACTCAAACAAAGCGCCGATGACTTTGTAGAACAATCAAAGACGCTTTTCAATACTGCTTAGCAGTGCTTGTTTAGTGAGATAAGCTCACGCTAAGTCCTTTACACGCGATATTACCGTTATTTACTCTAACACATGGTCATTTGTGAATGTCTCTCTAACGTCTTATATATAGTATACAAGCCTGTTACTCGTTAGCATTGCTTAAACATTTACATAATATAAAGCAGAAATCAATGATCGTTTTGTCTACGTTGTTCAAAGGGACATAATTTGATTATCGAACTTTGAAACAAAACTTACATTATGCAAATTTCCAAATAAACATTCAATCACAAGGACAAATTGTATATAAAGGCTGTCTTTGGAGGGTGGATGGTGGGGAATATTTCTAATACATTGGCAAGTAAAGTAATTCTGCTTGTTTAAATACAAGCAGAATTGCACCATACTGCACTCTGCTGCAATACAATGCGATATATTGTGATGCCTGCCAAATTAATTGTCCAATCAAAATTAACTTAGTCAATTTTTTTTTCCTTAAGTGAATTTAAAAACTGGTTGAATACACACACTTTTTTTCATTTTATGCTCTGAAAAAAAGGCTTCAAAAACAGACTAGAGAGCATTTCTTTTACTCTCATATTTTTAAATATTTGTTTTCTTTGATAGGAATCAAAATTAACTATCAGTAATTAAGTCGAAGGACTTTTGCAAAGTTACGTGTTGCTGTTTTTTTTATCGAATGACTAGTTTGGGTATGTGCAAAAGATCCAAAAGAAATGAACACTCTTTTTTGACTGATGAGTGGATTTTTTTGTTTGCAAGAGAATTCATACTGTTTACCATAATAAGAATTTAACTGCATGCATTTTATTGCACTGCACTACAATGCAATGTCAATCAATAAAATGAAGTCCATTTTTGTTTTACATTATGGTATTGAAAATAAGGTGTAAATTAACATATTTTCTAATAAATTTTTATTTTTAAAAAAGTTTTGAAAAACAGACTGGATGGAATATTTTTATTTACATTTTCTTATATGATTGTTCTCTTTCATGTGAATCTAAATTAACAATGCAGTAATAATGTCGAAGGATTTTTCGACAATTTTTTTCATTGCTGTTTATAATTTAATGCAATGCTTAGTTTTGGTATAAGAAAGATTGAAAAAGAGAGAAATCTCGTGTTTGACTGATGAGTGTAAATTTTGAGAGTGATGCAGATAACAGTACGTAGAGCTAAGTTCTCATCAAAGAACAGTTACATTTGCTGATTATTTTTTTTTTATTGAAAGTCAAAAAGACTGATATGGATGTATGCGAAACATCCCCAGGAAAATTGGACTGTCGAGTGAAGTTCTTTAATTGCAAGCTAATTAATTTTGCTTTTAAATAAAAATATAAGTGTCCTACAATACATTGCATTGTAATGCCTGATGTACTGTCTAATTAAAACATACTTGGTCAATTTTTATTATTAGGCAAAACAGTGAAAAAATATAAACTTTCCTGTTTGACTGCATGAGTGAATATTTTGAGACTCAAACAAAGCGCCTATGATTTTGTAGAACAATCAAAGACGCTTTTCAATACTGCTTAGCAGTACTTGTTTAGTGAGATAAGCTCACGCTAAGTCCTTTACACGCGATATTAACGTTATTTACTCGGTATATATACTCATGTTATTCCATTCGCTCTTAATATCTGATATGTATTATCGATTCGGTTCACTTGCTTTTTAAAGAAAGGAAAATTGAACTTGCGTCGGTATATACTCATGTTATTCAATTCGCTTCATTCAATTACATCATTATTTTAAGAATGAAAATACCCCCAAAAATCCAAGGCCCATTTTTTTATCTGTATGACCCCCAAAGAAACCCTTTTCCGGGGAAAATTTCCCCTTTCAGAGACGTTCAGAATGTTGCCTCTGTATATATATACTCATGTTATTCAATCCGCTTTCCGTGAAAAGTCAATTTAAGAGTCTTGCCTCACTATATATATACTCATGTTATTCCATTCGCTCTTAATATCTGATATGTATTATCGATTCGGTTCACTTGCTTTTTATAGAAAGGAAAATTGAACTTGCGTCGGTATATACTCATGTTATCCAATTCGCTTCATTCAATTTCTACATTTGTGAAGAATGAACCCCCCCCCCAAAAAAAAAAAAAAAACAAGCCCCATTTTTATCTGTATGACCCCCAAAGAAACCCTTTTCCGGGGAAAATCTACCCTTTCAGAGACGTTTTTACCAACCATGGACTTATATACTATTAGTATATAGGTCCCTGTACCAACTTTTACTAGATTATTTTATTTGTGTGTGACATTAAGTAGTTAATAGGTAATCAGATACATGTAAGTACTGAAATATTTCAATGTCTTCAGATCTTATTAGTTATAATTATATCTGCTCCTTTTTTTCTTTTTTCTTTTTTAAAATCTTCACTGGATTTACACAAAGAACACACATATTTCTATGAAAGTTATCTCCCTTAACGGAAATTCACTGTTGTTATGCTAATCGCGTCCAATGGCGGACGAAGCGTGTGAGTCACGATACATAAAAACAACAAACCAAAGGGTTTATCTAAGGTGTCAAGATACTTTGGAACTTTTTTGTGACATATTCGATCATATCAATGCCGTTTCTGTGATGAATATATTGAAAAAGAACTCATTACGAGCGATAGATTGTTTTATTCACTGAAAAATCGTCTGGCTAAAATTTTGTCAAAATGAGTGTCTCCAGTCCAAAGAGAGAGCGCACCAGGTTTATAAGAAAGCGTATTTCAAAACATGCTGTCACAATTGACACTTCAAAAGCCAAATCGAATGCTGATGTTGTCAGAATGTGTGTGAAGGAACTAGGATTAGTTGAGGTATACCCATTGCTATACCAGCTACATGTATATTCATAATTATAATTTTTTTATTATTGTCTGATAGAGTTTGAAAATTCAGTTAAAAGTCTGTAATTTGTAAAATGATGAACAGCATGATATGATAAGTTAATGTGTTATTTGTTGCCTTATTTATATATGTACATTACTGGTATCCTACATGTACAATTTTACATCATAGCAAGGCCAACAAAAAATTTAAAATATGTGTGTTTCTGGTAACCTGACCATGCAACCCTAATTTCACCTACCAACCCCACTACTTTTTCTTCCAAATCTGGATTTTGAATGGTACATTTGTTCACTAGTACAGGTTTTTCATAGAGCAGTCAATAAAATCCATGTCTCAGTTATCGCCTACCTATCTAAATTTTTTTTTGGCATGTTTTTTTATTTGGCCCAATCAAAAGATTCAGTCACTCCAAGCAAATGCATTATTTTTTATATGGTTTGCTCTCTGTAAGATTCCCTGTTATTGACTTGACAAAAATCACAATGATACCAAAAGGGAAAAACACATTTAAGCCTTCTATTTTTAGTACCCTAATGGAAGAAAAGATGCCCCCTGTGATATTTACTGGAATGAGCACCACTTTGATGACAACCCTGCTGCAACAGGAGGAAAAGTCAATAAATTTCCAGGTTTGAAAATAATTAAAATATTTTATCAAAAAAAGAATATTTTTATTATACATGTATAACTGTAAATAGATTTTTTTCTGTGTAGCCTAAATGAAGACAATCATCAGAGATTGATTTAGGCTAATTGTAACTTTAAAAAAGAATTGTTATTTAATCTTCTGGTATAAATCTTATCAGATAGATTATATTAATGATTTATAGTAAATGGATGATACAATTCAAATAAACCAGATCTCTTTCAGTTAGATAAATCTTGGGGTTATATATTATTTTCACAAGTAATCTAAATTCTTAGGTTCACATGTTTATGTTTTATTCAGAAATGGAGAATATCTGCAGCAAGATGACCCTATTTAAATGTCTGGACATAATGAGAGACCTCTACCCATCAGACTTTGACTTTTACCCCAGAACATGGTACCTTCCTGCTCAGTTTGAAGAATTTTCTAGTGAAGTCCAAAATATGAAAGCAAAAAGAAAGAAATTGAAATCAACCTTCATCATAAAACCATATGGGGGATCCAGCGGAGAGGGCATATTTCTTCTGAAAGAACCCAAAGATTATATTTCCTCATATCCATCCAAGAGAGGCATGTGTCATGTAGCTCAAGAATACATGGCAAATGTTTACCTCATTGATGATTTTAAGTTTGATTTCAGGATTTATGTTGTTCTGAAAAGTGTGGAACCTTTAGAATTCCACATCTGTAGCGAGGGCTTGGCGAGGTTTTCCACCGTACCATATCAAAGCCCTACAAAGAAAAATATGCATGAGACCTTCATGCATTTGACTAATTATTCTCTGAATAAGAGAAGCAAGGATTTCAGTCATTCTGAGGAAGATGATGAGGGTAGCAAGAGATCATTAAGCAGTGTATTGAAGAGAATCGACATGAATGGACAGGACAGTGTTAAGGTGTGGCGAGACATAGAGCTTGTTGTGTGTAAGACAATCATTGCTATTGTACCAGAGTTGAAAGTGGCATGGAACAAAACATTTTCTTCAGGGAAACCTTGTCCATCATGTTTTCAGGTTTGTTTCATATGCTTATAAAAAAATTTAACATCAGCTAATCTACTGTGAATACTATAGTGAGAACTATATTTACATAGAAATTTTGAAAACTTTAAGTCTGACAGATTTGACAGGTAAAAATTTGTTTTGACTGATGAGAAGTATGTTGAATTTTTCATACTTCAGAATAGGATTTCAATAATGCTGATTTACACATAATTTCATAAGATTATCTGGATGACTGCATTAGGTATCCATAAATTGAAGTGATTTGGAAGTCCCAACTACACATTCTTTAAGTATTTACCCTCAGTATCTCGAATCCTCAGTTATCTCAGAAGTTTTTTCTCAGTCCCATCTATTTCCAGATCATAACGAGGTTTGACTGTATCTTTAGTTTTGGATTGTTGATTCTCTTCAAGAAGTCCATTGTATTTTACACTTGTAACTGAATATTGAAATAACAAAGTTCAACTATATATATATACAAATATTGTAAATAATTTCAGTATACAATAATCGTAAGTAACTATAGTACTATACAATAATTTTAAGTAATTTTATATAATAGGTGCTTGGTTTTGACATCCTTCTTCTGAGTGATTTAAAACCAGTTCTCCTGGAGATTAATGGAAGCCCAAGTCTATATATGGACAGTGAACAAGAGGTTTCACCAGGAGTTATGAAATATGTCAGGAACCCCAAGGATGAGGAAGTGAAGTTCCCCCTCATAAGGGACACAATACTCCTAATGATGTCACCACATAAAAGAAAACACTGGTAGGCTTATATAAACACAGTCATACATGGATCAGTATTTTTTTCAAAATCTTTAAACCTGTGTTTGTTTGATATCTCCAGTGCTCTGCTGTTTGCACACCAGTATTGAATCATGGGACTTTTTTCTCTAACATATGTACATGACATGAGAATAACACACTAGTAATGAATTATTACACCCACAATAACCTGATATAAAACCCCATATAATACATTCTGTTTAGAACAAAATGCTTCAAATTTAATTCTAAAGTGTTCAAAACCTTTTATAGAACACTTTTATATATGAATCTTTATATTAATTTATTTATATATATAAAACACATATTTAATTTAAGAGATATGTGCTTTTAGTGAGAAGAAGAGAAGAAAGAGAATGATGCATTTACAGAAACTGAAATCTTCCCGGGAGTCTTTGCTGGCACGGCCATCTTCTGAAGTGATGACATGTATCCAGGCTTATGATGACAAAGAGGACATTGAGGAGTTAAGAGAAGAGGAGGAGGGGCAGGAGGACTACATGAACCAACAGCTGTCAGAGTTTCATATAGATGAAGAATACTCAACTGGCAATACTGGTTTGTGTAAATTGTTTGCTAAACTTTATGAACAAGCAAATAGACTTTTTATGTACAGATTTTGAAATTAAAAAAAAAATTATGGCCCTTGAATTCTGAAAATCAAATACATACATTTGTTACTTTACTGCAGATACATGTACATGTAGTTTAATTCCATGAATGTATCAAATTTGACTAGAGATGTTAACTGATGTAAAAATCAAATCATACATGTACATGTATCAGTAATCTCCTACTCTTAATCAGAATTTCTTGAAAACCTGACATTTTTTTTTAGCTTTTTTAAACATCAACCTGATTTGTGAATTAATTGGTTGCAGATGAAGCAAAAGGAACTGAAAATCATCATTCAGATAATGACCAGGAGCAGAAGGATGAAATCCAGTTAGAACATCAAGATCCAGATGACCTTGAAGAACACCACCTGGAAGACAGTTGTCTGAAGCAGTTGTATCCAGATTTATATCAGGAAGAGTGTGATCAGTTCCGGATTCTAGAGAGAGCAGCGAGACTCTACATCAACTGTATTGGAGTGAAAAAATCACCTGGAATGAGTTCTTCTGCTTTTAGAACATTTATTAGGTAAGCAGTGTATTTAAAGGGCATGGATCTTAATTAAGTGCTATTTTTGTTTTTGCTTACCAATAAATTTCAGCCAAACATCTTGTCCTCTGCTTGCTTGGCATAATATTTCTCTTTTAAAACAATGTGTATAAAATAAGAATTGCATTTAATATGCTTTAAATAATAAAGGAATATCTTTAGGTTTTAAGGTATATTAAAGCTTACTAAATACTTTATATTCAATCATTCTAACTTAGAAATGTGATTAATTTGATAACCATGCATTGCCTAGGAAATGTCAGCTAAACAAGAAAGGACTAACAAATGCAGCTGTTGATATTATGTACATAGACCTACAGAGACGATGGGACCAAATGAATCCAGAGTCATCAAGCACTTGTAAGCCATTACAAAGAAAGATTATTTTCAAGGTCTACTGGTCAAAGACCAGAAGAGCTTATGCAATGATAAAGTTCTGTCTGTGTGCCTGTCTATCAGTCTATTTATTGAAATGCTACTCCTCCTACAGTATTTGTACAATATGAATAAAACTAAGAATAAACAATTAAATTTCATCATGATACATATACATACATTTAATTAGTTTCATCAGTTTTAATTTGGAGAAAAAAATTGCTTTGGTTATAAAAATTTTGTTAACACACTGCTCTTCATAAATTTATTTTATATAAATAAAATCTGGTTCATAAGTAGACTATAGGTTTATAATGTTTTATATAACTTTTTCAATGAACAATGTTGCCAAGGTAATTAAAAATGAAATATATAACCCCCACCCCCCCACCCCCACCACCCAACCCCCCCCAACCCCCCAAAAAATGCTTGTTTCTTGCAGTTTTGGTTGATTTCTGGAAAGTAAAACTTGGTAGAGAGACTACACGAATATGCATAATTTGGATTTTTTTTTTTTAATTTTTATGAACAATGTTGTAATGGCTACTAAAAGTATAAAATTTCTTTCAAATACTACTCTTTCTAGAGTTTTGGTCTGATTTTAATATATTAGAATACAGGTATACTACATCAAAGTCATAATATTGAATTCTAATGATCAATAATGCCGTGGTTAAAAAAGAATGATGTATGAAATTCTTTAAAATTTTACTCCTCATACAGTTTTGGCAAGATTTTTAAAAATAAAACTTGGTGCACTTGAGACATACTGCACAAATGTACACAATATTTATCAGCATGTAAATGATGCTACAAGTGTCTAAAATGGAATAATCTGAATATCTTTTGAAAAATGCAAATTCCTTAAGAGTTTGAGTTTAACAGTTTTTTTTTTTATAAGTTTAGAAAAATAAAGACATAATTCTTTAAATGTAAAATGAGTAAAATAATGTTTCAAGTCTGGCCCTGACAAGAACACAAGTACAGTGTACTCACTCTGGCCCTGACAACAACACAAGTACAGTGTACTCACTCTGGCCCTGACAACAACACAAGTACAGTGTACTCACTCTGACAAGAACACAAGTACAATGTACATGTACTCACTCTGGCAAGAACACAATGTACTCACTCTGGCCCTGACAACAACACAAGTACAGTGTACTCACTCTGGCCCTGACAACAACACAAGTACAGTGTACTCACTCTGGCCCTGACAACAACACAAGTACAGTGTACTCACTCTGACAAGAACACAAGTACAATGTACATGTACTCACTCTGGCAAGAACACAATGTACTCACTCTGGCAAGAACACAAGTACAATGTTCTCTGCCCCTACAAGAACGCAGGTACAATGTACTCACTCATGCCCTGACAAGAACACAAGTACAATGTACTTGACATGTGTTCTTGTCAGGACCAGAGTGAGTACAGTGTACTTGTGTTCTTGTAGGGGCAGAGTACATTGTACTTGACAAATGTGTTCTTGTCAGGGCCAGAGTGAATACATTGTACTTGTGTTCTTGTCAGGGCCAGAGTGAGTACAGTGTCCTTGTGTTCTTGTCAGGGCCAGAGTAAAGTGTACTTGTGTTCTTGTCAGGGCCAGAGTGAGTACATTGTACTTGTGTGTTTTTGTCAGGGCCAGAGTGAGTACAGTGTACTTGTGTTCTTGTCACAGCCAGAGTGAGTACAGTGTACTTGTGTTCTTGTCAGGGCAACTTTTTCCACTGGTCATTATAAGTCAGCAGAGCTACAGTCTAATTAGAGACGTCTGGTTAGTGCAGTAAAATGGATGGATTGTATTAATACATGTAGCATTTCTGAACTTTGCTGACTGAAGCTTGTCTATATGTTTTGCCATACATCTCTTTGGAATTTTCATCTATAACATTTTATTCCCTTAGATTTGAAATATATAATGTTGAATGATATATATTGTAGCTGTTGATACATTATGTAATATACATTTTTAAGCCAAATGAAAGAAATAAAGGAAACTAAAGGTAATTTTTCTTTGGATTCACCTGTACTTTAAATTGAATTTTGCAGGTTTATCCTTTCAAGCCTTTCTAGATGCCTGCTTTGAGATTACGAAGAATTGTTTCTCTGCACCAACTAAGATCGAAATGTTGGAGGGACTTCTGAGTTATTGTGAATCTCATATTAGTTTTAAAGAAAATGAAACATAAGTCATGTTCAAAACTGAGACAGGTCTCAAACAATGTTAAAGTTATACTTTTTTTACTGTGATAAACACTCAGTTTTTTCTGTTTTTGTTTTTTTTTTTGTGCAGATACAAGGAAGGACATCTTTATGCTCCCTTGGTAAACTGGGGCATGTGATATTGGATTCATCTCTCTGTCAGTTTGATATTCTGTCTCTCTAGGGGACTCTATTTCCAATAAGAATCTAAAATTAATCATGATACTCAAAATATTTTAGTGGAGTCGTATTATGTGCTGTTGACAAAGCTTAGATAATGTACCTGGTACGTATGATGATGAAATATCTATGTACAGTTCATTTGGTGGATATATTGGTAGAACTGACAGGAGCTCAGGATACTCATTGTTTGATAAATGTCTTTGTGCATGTTGTAATATAAAAATTAAGTTAAAAACTTTATCTTGAACTATGCAAAAGTAGATTTTTTTCTGCATTGTGCGTCACTTTATATTTGTTTTAAGTATCTTGTTATTAAACTTTTATACACTTTTAATTGATCTTTATTTTTTTTAACCAAATCTCGATTTTATTAATTGAAATGTACATTAAACTTAGTTGCAATTTTAAAACTAGGAAACATGGAATTTTTTATATGAGACATAAATCTACCAGGTAAATGTGCTTAAATGTATACAAAACTTGATGTTATTCCCATATTTTAATCTGAATTATCATCATAAATTTATGTTGATGTGCATCAAATTCATAAACTTTTTCATGTCCTTTGAAATTGCTTTGTCCATTTTCTTCTAATTTTGGTGCATGAACAATTGTTACTTTTCTGCAAAGAACCTTCTCTTGTGGAGATGGGTCAGTGAAAAACTAATTAAATATTATACTGTTTCAAAATATTCCTGGCTGTGTTGAAAACAATGTATGAAATGAGCAATTAAGGTGCCCACCAAAGAAACTGAAGTTTTTTTTTAGCTCACCTGAGCTGAAAGCTCAAGTGAGCTTTTCTGATCACCTGTTGTCCATCCTCTGTCCATCTGCCTGTAAACTTTTCACATTTTCAACTTCAATCTTCTAAAGAACCAGTGGGCCAATTTTAACCTAAGTTGGTACAAAACATTCCTGGGTGAAAGGGGGGGGGGTGAAAATTGTTAAAATGAAGGGCCAAACCCCCTTACAAGGGGAGATAATCAAGAAAAGACAAAAATAGGGTGGGGTCATTTAAAAATCTTAAGAACCACTGGACCAGAAAAGCTGAAACTTATGTGGAAGCATCCTGGGGTTGTGTAGATTCTAAATTATTCAAATCGTGGCCCCTGGGGATAGAATGGGCCACAATAGGGAATCTTAAGTTTTACATTGAAATATAAGGGGAAAATCTTTAAAAATTTTCCCCTCAAAAACCACTGGGCCAGGAAAGCTGAAACTTATGTAGAGCTTTCTTCAGTAGTGTAGATTATAAATTGTTCAAATAATCACTCCCAGAGGTAGGGTGGGGTCAAAACAGGGAATCAAAGTTTTATATTGAAATATAGAGGAAGAATCTTTAAAAATTTTCTCAAGAACCATTGGGCCAGAAAAATCAAAACTTATGTGGAAGCATCCTGGGGTAGTGTACATTCTAAATTGTTCAAATCATGACCCCTAGGATAGGGTGGGGCCACAATAGGGAATCAAACTATATAGGAAAAAATCTTCTCAAGAACCATTGGGCCAGAAAAGATGAAACTTATGTGGAAGCATCCTAGGGTGGTGTAGATTCTAAATTGTTCAAATCATGACCCCCCAGAGGAAGGGTGGGGCCACAATAGGGAATCAAAGTTTTACATTGAAATATAATGGAAAAATCTTTTTAAAATCTTTTTCTCAAGAACTACTGGGCCAGAAAAGCTGAAACTTATATGGAAGCATCCTGGGTAGTGTAGATTCTATATTGTTCAAATGGTGGCCCCCGGCGGTAGGGTGGGGCAACAATAGGGAATCAAGTTTAACTTTTAAATATAAGGGAAAAATCTTTAAAAATCTTCTCAAGAACCACTGGGCCAAGAAAGCTTTAACTTATGTGGAAGCTTTCTGAGGTGAGTAGATTCTAAATTGTGCAAATCATGACCCCGGGGGGTAGGGTGGGGCCACAATTAGTATTACAAGGGAAAAAATCTGGTAAGAACAGCAGGGCCAAAGTTACTCAGGTGAGCGTTGTGGCCCATGGATCTTTTGGTTTTTTTTTGGGGGGGGGGTTCAGTTTTAGGACCTAGAGACAGAGAAATTAATTCATCTCAGGGCCAGGCAACAGCGTATCAAAACGAAAAAAAGTAGGGATGCAATCAGATAATTTTTTGTAACCAGTTAGTCGCAATTTTTTCCGACTAAGTAACCCATTAAGCGAACAGATAAAACGTTTTATTATGAATTATTCAACTTATTTCCTTACAAAGCAGTTTGTAAAAATAAATGCTGAACTACGATAATCAGAATTCTTTACCTTTTAAACAGAGTTTTTTTTACACAGCCAAACCAGATTTTCACCGACATTCACATCAATTTCTCTTCTTCGTCGCTGTTCTTACTTTTTTTTAAATGTGATTCATTGACCACTGTTAATGACTGGCAACTTCACACTTATTCTCAAGAAATAAATCGCTCTGGTGGCAAAGATGTTCCATGCAGGAATTGCAAGATACTTCACTGATAAAATTGAAAGTTGTAGGAATTTTGCGCTATTATCATGTCCCCACTGAAAAAAAGGGGGAGGGGAGTTCTTATCAAAGGCATAAACCAGCTCACTTTTCAATGACACATAGTGAACTAGTGAACTGTATGAAACATGAAACAAACACTTCATATGTTGTTCTTTATCGTGTTTTTGTTTTTGTTTTTGTTTTTTTTTTGTTTGTTTGTTTGTTTTTTTTATTGTGATTGTTTGGTCCTAGGTTTTTATGAGCCATTCTCTGTAATGACTTTTTAAATTTTATATAGGAGCTGTGGTACGCATAGTCTTAGAATTTCTCCAAACTCTCCAGGATGAAAATCTTTGATAATGTAAACTCAAATCAGGTGAATATTGGTTGCTACATGTCATGGTTACCGTGGCAACGTGCCCTAAAGCTAAAGTTTGAGAAATGGCATTTTTCAACATATTCAGAGTCCCACAGTTAACGTTTGCGGCAATGCAAACAAATGGCAAGAACTGTTTCCAAAATTTATTTAAAGATAATTTTTTTTATTGGTTGAAAATATTGTTACCATGGTTTTAATACCACAAAGGGATTTCAAATTCAATATCTGTATGTTTAAATCTGATTCTGTCTTTTTTAAAAATCACATTTCTATTTAAGTGATGACCAATGCTTAAAGACATTGGTGTGGTTCTAATTTCCAAATTTCAAAAAATTCCAATTAAATTCCTTAAATAGAGCTTTGATGTAGAAAGCAGGAAAAAAATAATGTTCATGTATAAAAGCTGACTAATATTTTTTTTTTCCTTAGATACATAACCTTGTATGTAGATTCCTAAAACTCTTATGATTGGTGTTATGAACAACTTACCTGACTTCTTCATCAAACTTTATCGATGTATGAAATTCAACTTAACAGCTTAACGAGGTTCGTTCCTGAGCTTTTGAGCAGATTTTTGTGTAGACCTCTATCTAAAAAATTCTGCATAATGTTTTAGTTCTTACAATAAATTTGAATTCTGCAATGCTAATTTAACTATATTCAATTAAAACCCCATGATTAAATTCCATACTGAAAGCATTAAGTTGGGAACTATATTTTGTGGCGGAAGTTTTTATAGAAGAAAATGATCAATTTTTCTCATTCGAAATATTTACAGTATTGTTAAGTTTGGATTCCTATTTTTACATGCAGCCTGCACACAAAGTTATTTTGAGCAGTGAAATGTTTTATGCTGGTCCTAAATAATATATTAAATTAACCATCATGAATTCTGTCATCATATTGGACAAATATAACAAATATATTGTGAAAGTCCTGGGGAAAAAATAGCCCATTTTAGGCTAAAAATTAGCACTATTTTAGTTGTATCTAAAAATTAACATCATAAACCCCCACTTTTAATTTTATTTTCTGAATAAACTAGATAAATTTAACCATTCTGCTTAAAGTCAGAAAAATGTCATTACTTTCACATGATTTTATTGCTTGTTAAATTTTTAATGCAAGAAAAATGACATTTTTTGAGTGTAAAAAGGTCAAATAATTGACTTTGCGAAGTAATTTGAAATTTCTTTGTTGTCACAAATTTTAAAGAGACTATTCAAGACGAAAAAAGACTGTATTTGTTCCCATAATTTATTTGGATAAAAAATATTAGAGGAAAAACTTACAGTGCAAAAAAGGTCATATTAAATGCTCCGTAGCGCCGAAAGAAGCGCATTGACCCCCATTTTTGGTTTTGATTTTTAATTAAGCTACATGTATGTGTCTAGATTACAAAAATATACTTGATAAAAAATTCTCAATACTTTTGATAACAGGATCCAACCTCCTTAAGAACTATCAGGTAAGTACTATTCAAGTGAGTCAAATAATATTTTTCTTGACTAAAGGTAACTTAATTCCTAAAGCAGGAAAAACTATCACTTTAAACCAGTGGTACATTGTTTCCATGGTTACATTGCAAAATAACAATTAATCACAATTTTTCTTACGCTATCTGTGTTACAATGTCCAAACAATGTATATTTGCCATTCTTGAATTTCCCATTTTTTCCTCAAGATAGTAGGATTAACCAAAACTTAGCAACAAATTATGTATGGCTACACTGTTACCATGGCAACCATGAAAGTTAATTACTTGAGTTGTTGATTGCGGATGATCAATTAAGTAACACATATCATTAGTGAATATTGAGCGTTTTTCAGCCATTTTTAGCACAAAAATGAATTCTAAATGTACGCATGGTTACACTAAGAGATATATTCTAAATAGTTTATAGCATAGGTGGCAACAAGGTGTCATGTTTTTATGAGAATAGTTTCAACTTTGTTCATTTTTTAGGCCTTCATTAAGGCTCAATAAAGATTCAAAGTATCTGAAAATCTCAAACTTTTCCGGCTTTCACCATGGCAACCAAGACAAGTTGTTTTTTTTTAAATTGCCGTCGCGGTCTCCTTAAAACATTGCGAATCTGTCGATGTTTGAGGCATTTCCCTGAATGATTTGCAAAGTTTAACATTGCTGAGTAGAAAAAAGTATAAATCGATAATATCAATAAATCTCTTTTTAATCACAAACTTAATACAAAATGAACTAATAAATTGATTAAGTAACTCTTAAAGAAATCTTACTTCTAAGGAAGTTAATGGTTGCGATCGATTTATCTTGATTTACGCAAACTATTTTTCTTTTACAAATTTCGTGCATGAATTATTGCCTATGATTTGAGAAAAAAAGACGAATTATTGTGAGTAGTATTGCTTTACAAATCACAGTATGTTTCAGGCCCGTGGTAACGGTTTTAAAAGAATCCGGGGGGGGGGGGGGCTCCTAAAAATATCTGACAAGGGAAAAAAAATTAATTGTCAAAATCCTGGAATTTGCAGTGCTCGACTTTACAGCAACAAAAAAAGGGGGCGGCATCTAAGTGAAAATTTACTATAGCAAAATACTATACTCAGAAAAAAAGTGTGGGGTGCCCCCCCCTTTCGCGTATTCGGGCCTGTGAATCGCATGAATGTGTAAAAATCTGCACTAATACTGTGATAGCACTTCTGTGCTGTTTAATTCTGTAAAATGATGCTTGCTTTTTTCTCTTGTGTTATCATTTTAGACAAGCAAGCAATCAAAGCACCAATGGATACTTTAGATGTCCCTTAACCACTTAACTGGTTAACTGAGCTGATTTTGTTATATATGTGTATGTTATCATCAAGGGAGTGATCCGAGGCTGATAGTTGCTTGTGGATTTTTTTTTTTACTTATTATTTTTTTTTTATTTTATTTATTTATTTTTTTTTTTGACAAATTTGTTCAAAATGCTATGGTAATTTAGTATGTGCCGAAATGATCAGGTATTTTTTGTACTCTCAAAAGTCAAAATCAATTTAATATTGATCGAGTGCGATTATTACATGTGTATCGGAATTGCACAGAAAAAGAAGTACTACACTTTAAAACAGTTGTAAATATTAATTTGATATATCGCTATAATATAAATGTTCTTCTTACTGTAATTATAAGAAAAAAGCATAAAATCTAAATTTTTACACAAATACATGTAACTGATTTTTTTATGATGCAATCAATCTGTTTGCTCGCCTGATAAATTTATCACGCGAGCAAACTGATTTTAAAAACATCATCATCAAACCAGACAGTTATTCTTTATATTTACATTTTATCTTTTCCTTGATTCCATTAAAAAGGATATTTTTATTCAATAATTAGAAATTAAGGTCTGCAAGCCCCTACCATTGTATTACTGTAAGGCAATACATAGCTAGAAAGCAGTTCTTATATGGAGATATAAAACTAATTCCTTATTCGTAGTTTTATATTAGACAAAGAGATTTTAAAATGTAAGTATTTTAAAATACAAGAAAATCGAGATTAAAAAAAAAAGAAAAAGAAAAGAAAACTCTTCTAAAAAGCGTGCCTGATATAAACTTCAAACAATAAATTTTAATGCATCATGATTTCAAGAGAACTCTGTGACACCTCTTTATATGATATGGTATCTAACTGCGAAAATTTGAACCGGAAAAACATATGCTCTTACGGGTTGACAAGGAGTTTACTCACTGAGCGGAAGTCAGAAATCGTTGTCATGCGAGGGCGTCCAATGGCGGACAAGCTAAACAAGTGCGTCATGCTCGTACATTATTGATATTCGTCTGCCGAGATATTTAAATCATCCAGGACACACGACAGTTGAATGAGATGGTAAATAGAAGCAGCTGAATGGTGTTTAATGAGTTGATTATGTTTATATTCATAGAAAATGGTTAATTAACGTTGATAAAGTTCTTGAAACCTGCATGCATTGCATTTTTGTACTCGGAAAATATATCTTAAAAAATATGTGAATAGAAAGGTAGAATAAAAAATTGAAACAGACCGAACCATGGCAGCGTCCAAATCCCTTCTGGATAGTTTGAAGAAACCTGAACCAACAAATTTTAAAATGACTGACTTTCGACGGGAATTACATTTGCGCCATAAACGAGAGGAGCATTCGAAAAAAGAGCGTCTGAAAGCCCAGCAAGAATCGAGATATGTTCCTAAGTATGCAATCACTATTGACACATCTAGAGCTCGATCTAACAATGATGTCCTGAGAATGTGCATTAGAGAGCTGGGATTTAAAGAGGTATACAAAAATCAGAAGCTATATACTATAGTTACTAAAAATACAGGATAAAAAGTTATTAAAAAAAAAAGTTTATATAAATGAATAAATAAATATTGATAAAGATGTTCTTCCATGGCACCAGTGATGCTCTTGAAAATGATTTTAATAGATTTTTTTTTTTTGGGGGGGGGGGGGCTGTCACTGATTGTATGATGTAATTAATTGAATGAATATAAATGAGAATGCTGTTCAAATAAAATGACAAGATTAATCAAACTTTTGATGAAATTTTGAGAATGCGTGTCATTTGTTTCACTATATAGAGATTTCTAAATTATATCTAATAAATGCTGCTTTGTCTCATGTGATTTTCTTGTAACCAATTGAGATGTTATCATTATGCATCAATATTTGACTTGTAAAATTAACTCTGCCTGCTTTATTACGTTATTAATAAAATTTCCATAATTTCAGTATCCATTTGGCCGTAAAGATAATTGCTGTGATGTACATTGGCATGCTATTCACTTTGAGGACAACCCAGAGGTATATGGAGGGAAAGTCAATAAATTTCCAGGTGAAGTGTTCATAAAAATTTCATGCAGGGTGGAAAACAAGAATGAATTGAAACACTGTTCTATGAAGAGTCATGTGAAGGTTTTAGACTTGTATTTTAATTTTTGATCAGTCGTGTACATAAACACATAAAAACAATCTGCACTTTCTATTTCTTGATTTCTTTGTTGTTGGGAAATTGATCCCTCATCTTAGAGATGAAAAATTAATTAAGTGATGAAAATGGAAAGAACAGATTCTCATTTGAAGAGGGATACATGTATTTGGGTTGCTTTTAAACTGAAATTTTTCAGATATGTATACCCATTTCACCTTTAAGTAAGGAATGATTATTATCATCGTTAATAACTAAAGGAACATTTTTACTTCATCCAAAAAATTAAAATAAAGAAGTTCTGTAAAGGGAGTGTGGATGTATATCTGCTGTATACTTATTTTTTTCTTTAGATTCTTAAAACAAATAAGATATTAAGAGAATCATTTGCCCATGAGAGTTTCAGAATTGAGAAATTAATTATCTGCTCAATGAAGTGCATACATGTATAGATTTTCCTCTTTCTAAATGAAATACCAGTCTATGCATATCAGGTAACTAGTCTGTATGGACATAAATCTATACAGGCATAATTGCATTCTGATACTGTCAGCATTTAAGCAAAGCTTTACTTCTAAATTTTAGAATCTGATATGATATTGACAAGTAATAAAATTTTAATGAAATTTCATTGTCCTGATCAGGGATGGGTGAAATATGCAGCAAGATGACATTATTCAGATGCCTGGACACAATGAGAGACCTGTTCCCAACAGAGTATGATTTCTATCCAAGGACCTGGTACCTGCCAGCTCAATTTCATGAATTTTCTTGTGAAATACGAAAACTGCATGAGAGACGAGTGAAACCTAAACCCACATTCATAATAAAACCTGACACAGGGGCCCAGGGGGATGGAATTTATCTACTGAGAGAACCCAATGAATACTCATCATATAATGGCAAGTGCCATGTTGCTCAAGAGTACTTGTCAAATGTGTATTTAATTGACAAGTTCAAATTTGATCTACGAATCTATGTTTTATTGAAAAGTTTAGAGCCATTGGAATTCTATATTTGCCGAGAGGGACTTGCCAGATTTTCTACTGTTCCATATGAAAATCCAACTAATAAAAATATACATGAGTCTTTTATGCATTTGACTAATTACTCATTAAACAAAAGAAGCTCAAATTTCAATCGTTCAGAACGTGAGGATGAAGGAAGCAAGAGGACATTGACTAGTGTGTTGCGCAGAATTGCCATGAATGGACATGATAGCAATAAAGTATGGAAGTCTATAGAGAGGATTGTATGTAGAACCATTGTGGCTATTGTACCAGAAATGAAAGTGGAGTATCAGGCAGCTATGCCACCAGGAAAAAGTGGAGCTTCCTGCTTTCAGGTTTGTTGGAGATTTCATTCAGTTCTCAAGACTGTGTTGTGCTGATATTGAAAAATTGTTCATTAGGTTTCATGTTTGTAAAATTCTCATTCAGATGTCAATGTTTTTCACTGGTGTCACCCCCCTCCCCCCAACTGGTGTCTTGACAATCTTGATATGATAAAGTATTTGAAGGATATGGTGTTATGCAAACCAAAAATAAAGAAAAAATGAAGAGAGCGAAATAATGAAAAGGACATACAAATCCAATAAGTTATCTCTCCTCTCTCTCTCTCTCTCTCTCAAAGTAGAATTAGCATTTGTGTTAAACACCTCAAAATATATGTTACTTGTATTCCACTATTTCCTGATATTAGATGCTTTTAGAAAACAGCTACATGTATAATACTAATAAAACTAGGCAGATATGTAATTTCATGTATAAGCTAACTGCTCTGGTTTTCAATAGAGCTGTATATTGTGAGCTTGTCAGGAGATGTTTATTTGAATTCATTTGAATGGATGCTTGAAATAATTATAACCTAAAAGGAGAGATATATTTCCCTGTCAACTTTGAAAAGCAATAAATGGGTTTTCAACTTTTCAGAGAGAATGTTCAGGTGTTCTTTAGCAAAGTTAAGTCACACTGTCCAGATCACATATACATGTAATTAAGTTCCTTTGCATTGTTATAAGTTTAAACCAAATAAAAGAATTAAGATTTAGCTAATGATTGGGATTTGTTGGCACCTGAATGCAGCAATTAACATGATTATTATGAAATACATATTGTGCTCATGTATGATTACGTATGTTTATACCATACCTGTATTCTTTATCTCTTAAAGAATTTTGTTTTCTTTAAAAGTTTTCTGTAAATACCCTTAATCTGCCAAGGTAAAATTTACATTATACACCTATATAATCAATATCATTTCCAAGTAGGTGTGTGCTGTAAAAAGTTTTATTATTCCATTTTGAACCACACCTGCAATTATTTGAATTTTATGCTCGTTGAATGTATATATACTAAATGGACAATAAAATTTCAAGCCATACTTTTAAATAATGAAATATGAATGAAACTTTTTTGGGGATCGATAATTTACAGTTTCTTTAAAGACAAAAACAAAAATCTGATTAACAATAATTTTATTTAGTTCATTATTAATTTCCTAGAAAAGAAGAATCGATTGAAACTTGAATATCCTGCCAATGTTCGTGATATTATATAAAATTAAACTGTCAATACACATCAGATATATATGTAAACAGGTAAATATTAACATTTTTTCTGAAATTGACATCTTTATTGCTGTCAGAGAGTGATGTGTAAATTGCTAAGTAAATTTAAACAAGAAACATTCTCCACTTCATAAAATAAGAGTCATTCCAGGCCAAAATCAAAATTTAAATAACCTTTTTTGGGGTACCAGTCTTCTTTGCTTAAGCCCTAACAGTCCAGCTTTGTTTTTGTTAGAGATTGAAAAGGTTGACACTTTAAACCTGGTAACTCTCTTTGATATTAGTTTCACTGATAGCCGGGGTTTTATTTGTTACAATTTAGTGTGTTCAATCTACCTAATTCCCTGTTAAAAGAGCACTGAACTTTTTGCTCATACTGACAAATCTTTCAATTTAAAACTTGTTTCATTTTAGAAAATCAGTTATTTTTCTTAAAGCTTGTATCGTGTACCTGCAAACAACTACAAACCTTATTAATATTGAACCTAGGCATTATCTCGACATCTCAGACCTGAGGAATCTAATCAGCCAACGAAAGCTTTATCGATATCTTGGGTAAAGATTAATTCTTTAAGCTATACATTCACTACAGGAGAATTATACAGTGCGAAAAATCATGTAGATGAGTCATTATTAAAAATTATCAATAATAGTATTATATTTGAATGTTTCACTTCATTAATCCTGGACCTATGTGTTGATTGAAGTTTATATAGACTGCTATTTGAAAGTATTTTGCATTATGAGCTTTTCTTGTTTGAGTTCGAACATTGTAAAGATCTTGAAAACCATTTAAATACCCATGTGAATTCTAAAATCCCTTTGTTCAAGTAGATGGTATATATCTTCCAAATCATGACACAGTTAGCAGAGTTTACACAATATATATTTTTATTTAAATCAGCTAAGTGCTAATAAAAAATCTGTCATTCTTTCCTTAGTTTTGTATTTAAACCTTTTTGATCTGCTTGATAAAAAATGTGCCATCAGATTGAATGAGATAACTTTAAAGATTATAATTTACAGATCTATTCTAGACTAATCAGTTTTACCAAATCGGCAATTAAGTTTTGTTTATTTGTTTGTATGTTTTATTTTCCTTAAGTCTTTATATTAATTGCAGTATAAAATGTTTTAAAATATTTATTAATAAATGCAAATGGCTGTCTACAGAAAGAATTGCTTTGTATACATTTCTCTGCTCAAAGTTTTTGTTGTAGCCCAAAAAGAATTTGAAGAAAATGCAGTTATTAGCTCTATTCATTGCTAATTAATCGTCAAATACCAGATAAAATTAAAATGGTAACATATCCATTATCTGTCTATCTGTCCATCTATCCGTTTGTCTGTAAACTATAAGTTTTTCAAAATGGTACTCCTCCTAAAGTTTAAATTCAATTTCAGTAGAACTTAATATACAACTAGACTATACCAAGCTGAAAAATTCTATATACATGTTATTTTTAGCTCACCTTGACAAAGTCGAGATGAGCTTTTGCAATACCCCCAGCATTGGCATCAATGTTAGCATTGGCATCTAGGTTAAAATCTTAGAGCAAGTCCATTCCTAAGTAACTATAAGCCCTACTTGGACCAAACTTGCATGGATGATGCATTTAGGGATGGACACTACCAGATTTGCTTAATATGCTGGATCTGACCTACATTATCCAGATGAGTGTCCAGGTCAAAGTTTTTGGAGCAGGTCCATTCTCAAGGAACTATAAGACCTACCTGCATAAAACTTGCATGGATGAGGAATGGACACTACCAGACTTGCTTTGGATGCTGGATCTGATCTTCATTTTTCAGATTCTGAAGAGTTACCAGGTTTAAGTTTTTGGAGCAGGTCCATTCCAAAAGGAACTATAAGCCCAACCTAGACCAAACTTGCATGGATGGTGCAATTCTAGGGTTGGACACTACTAGACTTTCTTCAGATGCTTGAACTGACCTACATTTTCTGGATGAGAGTACAGCTTTAAGTTTTTGGAGCAGGTCTATTCCCAAGTAACTATAAGTCCTACTTAAACCAAACTTGCATATATATTGATCTTGGGATGCACACTAACTGGAAAAAAAATTGATGTAAGATTTGCCTTACTTTTAGATAATATTCTTTGAGGTGAGCCTCATAATATTTGATTACCGATGTTTCATTTTAGTGAACAGTGTTGAAAAATTTACCCAAAATAGAAATTTTCTGTAAAATTCTTTGAAAATTCTGCACCTCCTTCAGTGTTAGTCTGATTTCAATATAACTTGCTATATACAGGGGAGGGGGGGGGTGCCCCAAGTTATTTTAACCCTTTCTCAGTAAACAATTCTGCCCTATTTTAAATTGCCTAAACATAGCTGCATATGCATAAGAAGTAATGCTCTATTCTTTTAATTCTAAACATTTTATTTTGCCCACTTGCAATGAAGGCAAAGGGACGAAAATAAAACGAGTGTAAAAATGTCCTTGTATACAGTATTACACAAGTAGTCTTCACCCAGAAACATAATTCTGTTTATCTGTTTCTGATTTTTGTGAACATTGCTCTGAGACTCATGATTTTTAAAAATATAATCTTTCAGGCCATCATTAAAAATATCTTTGTTTCCCCTAACCCGACCCGATAATTTCAAGTTGAGTAGGTAGGTAGGTAAATTATTATTTTTTTCCGACAGCAGTTTTGAAAATACATTCTGAAAATTGAATAATATCTGTATAAATAAGAAAGAACAAAAGAAACCGATTTTTAAACCGAATATCATACAAATGAAATTTAACATGTATGGTAAATTAATTCACAAATATTATTCATTCGAACTTAATTTTAAATTTATTGAAATTGAATTTTTACAGAAAGACAAGATTCGCAAAACTCAACTATCCGCCATCCGAGTATATTTTTTTAAACCTACTATAATCTTCGAGTGCTTACACAGATAAAATGTCAAGGGCCTCGCGTGGCGCAGTAATTCTAGTGTTTCGTTTTGGAGTCACGACGTATAATTCAGGAGCTTATTCTAAGTCACAGGTCCCGACGTGGGGCGTGGAAACTGGTCAGTCAAATGAGACCGTAAAAAACGTAGGGCCATGCAGTATCACAGTATACAAGTAGATGATGGCACGATAAAGATCCCTTACTGATGCTTTACATGTATGACCAATGGCCATAAGTGCCGAGAAAAAGTATAAATTAGGAGCCCTCCACCAGGCAGGTGTTCAAATGTTGTCGACCCAGCAATTTTTAAAGGTATTTTAAAGCAAAGAAACAACCTATTTTCAAGGGCCCAACTAAAGAAAAGAAAAATACACTGGACGTCTCAGGAAGCTGTACCATAGGCCAACTTGAAAGATTTCAACACTATCTGAAAAGAGAGTACCTGTATAAACAATATTTAATTCAACCAAACCATATCTAAAATGATTAAAGTTTCAGATATCTAATGTTATAGTCACGAAATTTACCCCATAAATAAAAGGAATGAAGAAACGACATCCGAATTATATTTATCAAGATGAAATAATTATACAAAGATATATTTACAAATCTTATGGTCCTATATAGTAAAAATAGAATCATACATGAAGCGTTTTTTAGATCAAAACGAATGAAATGCAGTGACATTTATTGATATGCATACACAAAGTGGGCCCCTCGTCTGCTCCTGAGGCAGGCTTTGTCATGCTTACTACGTACGTTAATTTTAGAAGACACATTTGTAAATACCATCTTAATACTCCTTAGTCATGGTATATTTAATTCATGAAATGTTTCAAGAGTGTAGAATTCTAATAAGTTAAAGATGTATATTAAGATTGATAAATCGCTGTTGTATTATAACACTAAATAACCCTCTGTGGCCACATGTTGTGGGCGCCAAATGAGAGTAAAACAAAAGTCGCCATTCTGATAAAAAACGAATTTGATGAAATTGTATTTTATAAAGTTGATAAACAATAAAAATAAATATTTGAATAATCTTATTAAAAAAAACTTTTTAGTCGGCATGATTTAAGTGGGTCGGTCGCGTTAGGGGAAACAAAACTATTTTTTATTTTGGCCTCAGGGTTTTTTTTTAAAATTATATTGAAATTCTTCAGTTTGCATCTGATTTCAGTAAAAGTAGGTATACAAGTAGACTATATTAAAACACAAAACTCTTAAAATTAGTTTTTGATTTTGATGAAAAGGTTTGCCTTGGTAACTGAAAAAGGAATAGTTAAATTCAAAAATGTTACTGATAAACATCAAGATACATAATTCTGTAAATGTTCAAAAAGAAGGTGTTTGAAATCAAGATGCAACATTTCCCTCCCTGATTTTAAATATACAAACCAGTAGAGCGACAGTGACAGAGGACAGTTTCACCAGAGACTGCTGTTCGATTTTTATGCTTGGAGATTGTTTGCATTGTTTCCAGATTACCCACCTGGTTGGTTGGTGTTTATAGCAGTTTGAATCTTTCTATCACTTGTTAGAATCATGTTTGACTTTGCTTCACCCACTGTAACATTGAGCATTTCATAACAAACTTGGCTCCCTTTGTCATTATAGGTGCTAGGTTTTGATATTCTTCTCCTCCATAACTTGAAGCCTGTCTTGCTGGAAGTCAATGCAAGCCCCAGCCTCAGTTTGGATAGTGAGCAAGAAGTAGCCCCGGGAGTGTTCGAATATGTTCATAGTCCAAAGGATGAAGAAATCAAATACCCACTTATTAGGGATACATTGCTCCATGTGGTGCCAATGGAAAAACTCAAATATTAGTAAGTTTTCCAAAGAAAACACTTAATTTTCATGTATGGTATAATAACTGCATAACAGATTACATTTTATTGATCAGAATTTACTTACTAAATGCCCAATACATTTACAGGTTACATATGATATTCATTGAAATACATGTACTCTTTTGCAATGAACTATGCAACACCAGTGGAAGACTGAATTTATTCATTAATTCACATCAAAACATAGATTAATGAAGCATTGTTTGAAGACAAATGAATTTTCTCTCTGCTGTTTAGTCGGAAAAGAAAGAGAAAGAGAATGCTAAGGAAACTCAAGGCCAGTACTTCACACAAGACCAAACGCCCAGAACCTCTAGTAAAACAGAGGACCTCCATTGTTATTATCAAGGCCGATGAGTCTGATGAGGAGAAGAGAGAAGTTAATGTCACTCAACAGATGTCAGAAATGCACATGGATGTAGATAGTTCAGTTGTCAGTCAGGGTAAGTGGAAGGGAAATTTGTCTGGGGGTTACAGACACTCATCTATAAATAAAGGTAACTGGAGGGGCTATAGCTCTTCCATGGTCAAATGAGTGAGGGTATTGGTAATTTAGTTTGAATCCATGAATTGGAGGTGCATTTGTCTCAGCTGGGTACAACTAGAGTTGAGAGGAGGGAAAAGCATTTACTAGGTATTTTTAGGGATGAAAACCAACTATCAGTCAATGGTCCATGTAATTGGCCTGATCCTGCATCAAAAATTCAATTGAATATATATGCACATGTTAATCTGATCTTAGCAGTGGGTTTGAGAATCAGATACTAAAAAAATAAGAATATTCTCTACCTAGAGAAACCCAAATGATATTAATACAAGAATGAATCAAAGCTCTTTTATATTTCCCTTCAGCATCTTTAAAGAACCATGAAAAATCTATAGATGGTCTTGTAATTACTTTCAACAAGTCAAAGCCATTTATGAATAATTTCTGCTGACAGATAATGAAGCATTGGATCACTAAGTACATGAACATCCTCCCATTTCAAAGATTTCCAATGGCTTCTTTTATGTACATTTGTTGTGTACAGAATCATTATTGATTGACTACTTCCACTGTAGATGATGATGTTTGCTGAAATTAAAGGCATTTGTACTTCTGTAATGCAAAATAATTAGGAATATTCTCCTAGACTCCTAATATTCACACTTAACTATTGGAATAGAAGATAACCATGTAAAAGCTAATAAAAGGGGACCTTTTTCTCTGACATTTGAAAAATACTTCAGGGGGCCACGTACAAGGGCAGGGGTGCTTAATAGGGATTATGTATTTGAAAATTCATTTTAGGTCTCTTGAGTCACTCATTATTGACATTTTTGTCTGTTGTCATGTGTTAACATTTGAACATTTTCTGCTTCTTCTCTGGAACAAAGAACCAATTTCAGACAATTTTTGTGTGAAGGGGAACAAAATTAGGAATTTCATGCCCACCCCCCCCCCCCCCACCCCCATCCAGGGGCCTGAGGGGTGGGCTAAAATCATTAAAATTAATGTAATCTTTAAAAAAAATCTACTAGTACTCCTGAACATCAAACAGTTAAACTGTTGGCATGTTTGTAATAAGCATTGAGCCCTCTACCAAAATTTTGAAATTCATGGCCCCAGGGTCAGGGTTCTGGAGGTGGGGCTCTATTGATCATATAGTGAAAATGTATAAATTCTTTAAATAGCTCCTTTTCTTTCCCTGTATATTCAGCATACAAATCAATTGCATTGTTATGATGAGCAAGGATGCCTCTTTCAAAATTGTGAATTTCATAGCCCCTGGGATATGGGTTCTGGTGTAAGGGTGGGGCTCTATTCATATATATTTATATATACATCATACACATGTATAGTGAAAATGCATTATTTCTTTGAAAATCTTCTCCTCTGCTTCTTGGTATTAAGCAAACAAAATGCATGTTCAGTGAGCAAGGGTACCTCTTCTAAAATTGTTAATTTCATGACCCCTAGATAAGGGTTCTGATATTAAGACTGGTCTCTATTTATTATACTCAGTGAAAATGCATTAGTCTTTGAAAATCATGTTTTCTGCTCCTTGGTAATAAGCAGATAAACTAAGTGCAGGGTTATGATAAGTAAGGGAGTCTCTTCCAAAATTGAGATATTCCAGGCCACTGGGTCAGGAGATTTGATGCTAGGATGGAGTTCTGTTGATTATGTAGTGAAAATGCATTATTTCATGCTACTGGGTTTTAAGTAAACAAACTGAGTGCATGGATATAATATGCAAGAGTGCCCATTTTACAAATTGAGAAATTCTTGGTCCCTTGGTCAGGGGTTTTGGTGTTAGTGTGGGGCTCTATTGATTATATAGTGAAATGCATTATTTCTTTGAAAATCTTCTGTACTCCTCCATTTTAAGCAAACAAACTAAGTGTATGTTTATGATAAGCAAGGGTGCCTCTATCAAAATTATGAAATTCCTGGCCCCTGGGCTAAAGTTCTAGTGTAGATGGGACATTATTATATTGTGAAAATGCATTGATTCTTTAGAAATCTTTTCTGCTCAGGGTTGTATTATTATACTTAGGTAACCTTTGAGGCCCTTGGGCCTCTTGTCTTGGAAAGTGCACAGTATTTTTCAAGGAAAATTTGCTTAAAAATCATTTTAAATTAGCAATCTTCACCAGAGTGAACTTCCCTTACATCTGTTATCGTCTCATAAGTAGTCCCTGCATCACAAATAACAGTAGGAGGCATAGAAATTTCAGCAAAATATTCCATACATAATATTGTAATGTTTTTAAAGTGTATATTTTGAAGATGAAGGAAGGTAAAAAGTTGATTTAGAAAAAAATAATATAAAGCAGAAATGAAATTTAAGTAACTTTCTCCTTTTACCTATTTCACAACAATATTCTTGTAATTGGAAGAAATTTAATAAACAATTGTAAGTTAAGCTTGCATAGCATGCCTTCTTGTGAGGGATTGAAAAAAATTGCCAGTTCTTGTAAATGAAGGGAGATGAATGTGTGTTTACTAAAATGGATTTTTTTAATTGACACTTTTTTAATAGAAGATGGAGATAACATTGAAAATTTTATGTGGAAAACATATTCATTAATTTCATTTTTTTATGAACTTGTGTTATGGTGAAAAGAAGTGTTCATTTGTAAAGAAAATAATAACTTTGCTAATAAAGAAGATAGCATGTGAAATGACTTTGAAGATCATTTGAGATATATCTGATTTGTCCATTTCTTTAATAGTTTAACCATGACAAGTAAATGTTGTAAAGTATACTGGATTTAGGTTAAGGTGAAAGCTTCACAAAAGGTCAAATACTCAATGTGATTTGCTTTTTTTTTTGGGGGGGGGGGGGGGACACAGAAACACATATATGCATATCATGATTCAAGCAATGTTATTTTTTTAATTTAAGAATACCAATGTTTCTCTCAATTTGATAACCAAATAAAATTTGAGAATGGAACTTGAAATTTGTCATGTTCAATAATCAATAATTACAATTTGTATAAATTGTTCTTATTTTCTGAAACATTGTAACTTTGGTTCAATTGACTAAATTAATCAACTTTATTTCATGCTTTAGCCTACATATACAATATTATACACATAGGTATACATGGCTGTCCATGTGATGCTCAATTTAATCTGATGAAGAAAGTATTGTCAAAGTAAAAAGTTTAATTTATCGTATGTTAGTTCATTGCTTTTATACTAAAGACTATGGAGTACTCCATATTCCTGATCAATACAGAGGGCTCGTGGCAAGTGTGACCGATCAACAGGGGATGCTTACTCCTCCTAGGCACCTGATCCCACCTCTGAAATTCCAGCTCTATGTTTTTGTCCTGTTCACAATTCATTTTGTTTACTGGATTTATGAGATTGATCACTGTTTATTATCTTCACCTCTTATATTCAGATAATTTTGAAGCAACAAAAGTGCTGTAGAATTATCTCTTTTCATGTAACATTATTACAAATGTTGTTCCCATAGGCGAAAGCACAGGAAGAGATACAATCTCAGATGATGAACGAGAATCAAATTTGAAGTTTGATACAGACATTGATGAAGAAGTGGACAACTACTATGAAAATAAACTGAAAGAAAGCTGTTTAAAGCAACTGTATCCTGCCATTTATGATGAAGAATGTGAGAGATTCAGAATTCTGGAGAGAGTAGCTGGACTTTTTATCTACTTCCTAGGAATCAGGGGGTCGTTAAGAATTGGTCCAACTGGATTCAGAACCTTTGCCAGGTAGCTTTTTGACATACATGTAGGTTTTGTTGAATGTTCTTCAGAGGGGTGTAACAAAGTTATGAACATTTATTCTTCTTTACACAATTGACTAACATTTGGTATATGATAATACATAATGATACAGTCAGGTGAAAAAAGCAACAAAATTATGCTTAATTATATAGTCCTGGAATTATACATTGAACATTTAAGAAATAATGATCTGTCATATTTTTAACAGAAATTTGCTAAATATTCTGCCACTTTGGAAACCCTGATGATTTCTTTATAGAAAATGTCGACTGAACAGAAAAGGTATGACAAACGCAGCCGTGGATATCATGTACATAGATTTACAGAGGCGCTGGGACCACATGAATCCTGAGAGGACTTCTGGTAATTAGTATATTTAATTAACTCATTTAAAATACATTGTCATCTTTTATTCATGTTATTAATTTAATATTGTATTTTTTATAGAAAATGTATTATATTCTCTGAAATGTCTACAAAAATGAGACACAATAATTCCTAGATCATTATATAAAACCTAAAATTACATATATTTTGTATTTAATCACAAGTTTTATTAATCATTTTAATGTATTGGTGAATTTGCTGAAAATTAAATCTAGTCATGCAATACTAGTATCCTGTTTGAATTGCAGTTTAATTAAGATTGGTTTCTAGTAGACCTATTTGGTATCCTATATCCATCACATGCATGTAATTTAAATCCATCCTTTGTTCAGTTTTTATAATCTAGTATGGGATTAAAGTGACACTGTAAACATATACCAGATAAATTGAGGAACATTTTTCTTGCTATATATTGTAACTGCACATAGTAAATGGTAGATTTTTTTGAGTAATGGAACATATCAGATATGCATTTAGTTGTCTGTAAGAACATTTTATGTCCTCTAAAGTCAATGCAAAACAACAACAACAACAAAAATTTCAGGAAAAAAGAAAGATGTCCTTTGAATTGAAGCTTGAAGCAAAGCATGTTCACTATTTGTGCAAAACCCCCAAACCAATGTTCAGGCCAATCAGGGTCAGCTCTGGGCCCCCTTTTTACAAAAGAATTTACAATTAAGATCAAAATGTAAGTTTGCAAATAACTTTATTTTTCACTTTTATTTGAAAATGTGTTTAATCTTTTAAAAAAAGAATTTAGAAAGATATTTTATGCAAGCAATTTTTAACAGAAACATTAATTCTGTAATCAACTAAAGTTTTTGGTCTCAGTCATAAGTTCTTTTGTAACATGGGCCGCCCTTTTCTTCAGAACATGTTGGAATTCTTACATTCAGAAAATGAATTATAATTCAAAAATAATTTGTTCCACAAGGCACACAAGTTATAACAGTGGCTAGCAGCACATCACGGTGAATTTTAATAAGAGTTGCAGTATTTTAAACAACTAATTAAAAAATCATTGAGTTTTAAATAATTTACATCTGTTTAAAGGTCCTGGTGTAAAATCTGTTGGTAGGTATAATTACAGTCTCTGATATAAATAATTCTATATCTGAGAGATAATATAACAATAACTGTAATATAGACTTTAATAATTATGCTTTTAAGTAATTAATATTTCCCCAGCCACTTTCATTATTAATGCATATCACAATCTTCCATGAGCATATTTCTGTCACTTTTTTCAGATGATATGTATGTATAAGAAGTCATTTACATGTTAGCAAAAATGTTGACCCTCTGATAATACCAATAACTCTTGCTTGGGTTACTTACATTTTCCTTAAAAAAATTCAAGACAAAAGGCGAATTCAGACAAATTATCTGAAAATTAAGGACAGAAATGTGCCACCATACATTTGAACTACAAGAATATCATGCGAAACCACCTTTATTTTTTTGCCAGGAAAGAAAGGCAACGGTGGGTCCGTAGTCAGTGGTAACGCTGGTATATGTCTTTTAGAGCTTTTGTTACGGGTGCCCAGAATGATCTAAATGGAGTTCATCACTGGATTGATGTAGAGCATTAGTTTGAATTAACGCTCACGTCATAGGCACTTATTTATAGATTGCTCAGCACTTATGCAATATACATATATAATTTTTATTTAATATTAGATTGGCTTTAGGAATACATATGGAAGTGAACATTATTATATTGTTACCGAAGCTAGTATACATGTAGGATGCGTTATAAGTTGGTATATGTGCAAAACAAAAATTTTCCATGTGTAAGTTAATATTGCTGAAAATGTTACACATACTTATTCTCACATTAACACTAATACATTTATACAGTTATTCGTAACAAGTAGTAATATTATAATGGATCAGTTTTTGCAAATGTAATGCTGTTTATATATTACGATATTGCTGATCGGAATGGCACAGAGAACTAAATCCGTATCTTTAACACGATTTTTATACATAGCTACCTGAATTCACTTCCGGGCAAAATGTACATATGTAAAACACATCAATAATAGCTATATTTCTTATGTTAAATTAGAAATAAGGATAATAGATAGGTAAATGGTACTATATTATTAATAATTCACATCACTTGGGATGTTGGCCTCTATTTTCTTCTTCACACTTATTACCAAAGACAAAAAAATATCTTATTTTTGAGTCTGTCAGTAGGGTACGTGGTGCTCACTTAGTACTAAGTCTTCGTACTTCACAAATCACCTTTCATCAAGTGAATGTTTGATTGCCAAAATATCAAAAACATCAGGATTAATGAGATCATCTCTTACAATATATACTTATCAATATATATGTTCAGTTTGACAACCATTTTAACTGATTGGATCTGCTAATAAGCAAATAAAATGAATGGTTGTGTTTGCAGGGCTATGCTATCAAGGATTCCTTGATGCTTGTATGGAGATAGCCAGAAGAAAATTTTACGCTCCAACCAAAATAGAAATGCTTGAAAACTTGGCAGATCACTGTGAACTCAGTCTTAACCTCAAAGGCAAAGATCTTGCCGACAATCTGCCACGACTGCACTTCCGACGTTTAGGATTACAATACCGCCAGGGGTCAATGTTTGCAATGCCTCGACGAGTGATTGAGATGACCGAGGAAACGACAATTGAGGACCTTCTGACGTCACACGAAAAGAAACTGAGACAAGCCTCTAAAGAGGACATTGAGGCATTTTTGAGGAAGAGGAGAATGACGTATCAACCTACTTCTGCTGCCTCCATATTAGGTGGTACAAAGTCACCTAATTCTGAGTAACAGTCTTTAGTTCAGACAGGAAAAGGGGGAATTACCGATTAACTGTATTACAAAAGTTGATTTTAAAGACTCACTAATCAGATCCCATATGTCTTTGTTTATTTACAAAATTTGGTCACTTCAGAGTAAACAGTATATTAGGAAACTGGTACATTTTACTGATTCCGTACGGAAATGTTTTTGTAAGTATTTCCATATTTCTTATGTGTAAAAGGTATGTTTTTGTATAATGCTATTGTTTCGAAGGTGTACAAAAGGTATATTTATTCATGTACAAATGTACGTGTTTCAAGGATGTCAGGTGCAAAAGTCTGTAAGTAATAATTTTTTATATTACATGTATTTCTGTTGAATATCTATAAATACCATGATACGACCTGTTTATGTTTAATGTATGTACCTTTATGTCATCTAAGTTCATGAATGAGCAGTGTTGCACCACACACGTGCCTGTATTTCAGATTCATGCCTTGGATTGTTGTTTTGATTTAGTATGATTAAAACAAATAATACATTTAGAAACCAAAATCTAATGATAATAATAAATAAATAGAGGATGACCGAACTTTTTTAATAATACTTTTTGCTTGCCCAATAAAATTTAATTAAGTGATAATTAACTATTTTATCAATGTTACCAGCAACAGTTTTAAATGATCGAAATGGGTTTTTTTTTCTTAACTGATATTTTACAGTTATGTTTTGCAAGTTTTATTTTTATCTCTTGCATTGTTTTGACACAAGATACTGGGCCACATAATCTTCTGATATGAGGTAATTTAATGAAGCGATACAGTGCAATACATGTTTTTGCAACACGAGGATGTTTGTTAGATAGATTAATCAATTTTTAAATCAGACAATTTTTGATGGAGTGCCATAACGGAAAGCTTGAGTAGTTTGTAGGAATAACATTCTTTATAAAAATAATGTAAGGTATTACAATATTTTGCATTTTTTTTTTATATAAAATTTCAAAATGTAAGGGGAATAAATCGAATCTAAATGAAATTGCTAGAATGCATGGTTTTGATATTACATCCTTGTACTTGTGATTGTAAACATTAATTTTGTTTAAAACCCTATTTGTGGTTTATTATTCCATATATGCAGATTTTTTTTAAAAACCTTTGTCTGTATTATCTGTTATTTTTCAGTATATGTCTTTCATTTATACTTTCCCTATTTATTGTGCTTTGCATCAAGAAGTAAAGAAATAACACGAAACTCTCTTGATTTGTTGTTTTTTCTTAGGTCATGCAAATTTCCTCAAAGCCAGTATGTAGATCCAATAAATATGCCTCAAATGTTATAACCAATCATATATGCCTCAAATTCATATTTAATATGGTATGAAATACTGATCTCTGTCCGGGGAGGGGGGGGGGTTCTCGTTTGCCCTTTAACTGAAATGCCATGTCAGACATATTTGTTTGATTCTGATATGCACACCCGTATAGAAATTTGAAAAAAAAACAACAACAAACTACGTAGCTTTTATTCAAGTAATTAAACCATCAGATTGTATGTACCAAAACAGGTAACTTTGGTCTTTTATGATTCACATAATCTGTCCCTAAAGACCAAAATCAAAGAATATTTTGCTGCAACGTTAATAGCAACATCGTGAACTACAACAGAAATACTGTTATTTGATAAACGTAAAAGAAGCTCAAGACGTTGCATATTTATTAAAAACGTTCTAAAACTACAAAAATATTCAGAAACAGACTTGGAAATTCAAGTGAGTAAATTCTTTGGATGGTCCTGCGACTCCTTAGAGACAGTGATGTCCGTATTAGTGTTGTATAAAAGAAGACATGGCTTCAATAAATCTAATGTGGTACACATGATCAGGAAATGATTGTGTATGGGCTTTTAATTCTGTGTTTTAAATTTATTTTGGGGTTTAGAAAAACGACTGTACGTTAAGATTGATAGATTATATAGATAGAACTGGTTTAAAACGATTGTTCGCTAAGATTAGCATATACTATAGGTGATCTTATACTTATCTATATCATCTTTTGTAAACCTGTTAAATTATTAATAGTCGGTAACAAAAATAATACTAAAACGAGTAATAGGTAGTACATTGTAACCTTGCATTACTTCACACAGAAGAGAACGGGTATATGTTTTGAAAAAGATTACGTCTGTTAAGAGCATTATCTTTACCCTACTTGACCAGACCTGTATTTTGATCAAAGAACGTGAATGAATATTGGTAAATTTAAAAAGACTTATATAAAGGACCCAAATTTATTGATTAACACCACAAAGAAAATGGACATATGTATGCAGAAATGGACAGATCAGTGTATAAATGTCTTGATGTTTATCTTTGTGTATATTGCATCAATGATACTTCTGACTTTGATTCTGCAGCCCTTCTTAAAGTGTGAACGCAGTGACACGTATACTTCCATGAAATCCGTCAGTGACTTTAGGGGTCCGTTTATATAAGTTACAGATATTTTCAAGTCTTAGATGGCAAGATTCAATGGTATGAATCAAATTCTCATCGCTTCCTCCTCGTTCCAGTGACCTTAAACAGAGGGTAAGTGGCAAAAAAATGTTCCAGGCATGTCGGTAGATGTTCATTTTAATACCTTGAACTTCCAATAGTGCAGTGAAGTCTTTTATAGACTATAATAACCATGCCTACAGGCAAGTACAGTATGAGATGTGCCAAGAAGTACATACTGCTGTTGGCGGGAATCTGCCTTGTTATAGTTGGAGTATTGATAATCAAGCAGAAGTCAGCAAGACATTGTGTGAACATTCTTGGGGATAGTTACTCTTCATATATACAGGACTCTAATGTCGTGTTTCCACTTAAAGAGAAGCTTTCGGAATATAAGTATGACACCCTATTTTGTCTCTATGAGATGTATACAAGAACTCTACAACATCATTGCAAAAGACTTCGCCGGTTTGGTGAGATTGCGAGAAAAGGTTGGTATGTGTGTTTAGACTTTTTGGAACCGGCGCCTCACAACTGCAGCGTTGTTTCAGCAAATTCGGTATTTGATGAGTCAGTGTTCGTCAGGCATATTGAAGCCTACTGCAGATGTGAGCATCATAAATACGAGATGAATGAAATGGAGAGCGGGTTCACAAAAACAAGAACGTTCGACTTGTTTACTTTTTCCATCACAAAGAAAGATGATTTGGTTTTGTTGAGGACAATTTTAAAATCTGATGGTTACAATGTGCGTCAGTTCTTAATTGAAATACATTCCTTAATGTATTTTAGTGAAGGTGTTAAAGACTTAATTTCCGTTTTGCAGATTTTGTATCAAAAAGGTTTTAGATTGGCGTGGTTTGATATACCTTACAGATGTGTTCCATTACACAATAACCGAGCCTCGAACTGTATAAATCTAAATTTTGTTCGTGTTTCTAGCGGCGGAAATAGAAGTAAGAGTAAAGAAAACAGCAATCTTTTATTGTTGCCATCATCGCAGTATGTGTGGAAAAAGCTGTCTCGCGTTGATTTGGCAATTTCATTATACCATGAATACCTTTCCACGGTGCAATTCCATTGCAAGCATATTGTAAGAATGGGTAAAATCAACGATGGTGGATGGGACATTTGTCATGATTTTATGTCGAAATCACAGACAAAATCTCCCTGTATCGTGTACTCTTTTGGGATTGAAAACGATTTTTCTTTCGATGATGATATATCGAACACGTATGGATGTCAGGTTTACTCATTTGACCCAAGTATGGGTGTTGATGACCATCAACGTTCAGATAAAGTACAATTTTTTAATAAAGGATTGTGGAATAGTAAACGATTATTGAAACGAGCAACAATTTATTGGAGTATGGACACCTTTGAAGGGATCCGAAAACAACTGAAGCATGTACAGACACCAATAAAAATCCTGAAAATGGACATTGAACGTTCAGAATGGATTGTTTTGAAACAAATTATTGATAACGGACTTCTTGAAAACGTAGAGCAATTTTTAGTGGAATTTCACTCTATGGGTGATAGAGAAAAACTTTTTATTCTCAAAAGTTTATATGATATTGGATTTCGGATATTCTGGTTCCATAAAAACCCACTAGGTTCAAACTACAAAACCAGGAATATTCCTATAAGCAGTGCAAACGAAGTATCTTTTATCAATGTCGTTTACTTGAGGAAGCATGGTATGCTATAAAATGTATAGCACTTCAATAAAATATTTAAAATAAAATTATTTTTCTTGTAAACTTTTAAAAAGGTTTATGATGTAATACGGTGAAAATATCTAGATCTCTATTATATAATAATTTTGTTACTTGTGATAAATCCTTATCACCGTCTTCCTTTTCTGCGCGAGTTCTCCCTCCAAGATCGGAAGGTTCTGGGTTCAAACCCCGGCCGCGACTGACCTAAGTCGCTAAAAAAAACAACTGTTCCTTCTCCAAGCGCTCGGCACTTTGAAATGAAAGTTGTAGGTCTTTCGGATGAGACCTAAAAAACCAAATCCCCGTGTTGCGGTTTGCGTTGACACGATAAAGATCCCTCACTGCTCAGTGGGTTTGATTGCCGAGTAAAGGTCTAAATTTGAATCCTACCGGTGTCTCTATATGAGTGAAAAATTCTCGACCAAAAACAACATACAATCAATCAATCTGCGTGAATACGATTGAACGGTAACTTTTCGTGACTAAAAAGCGGACGTTGACTGCCTGAGCATCATTAGACTTTTTCTCGTCACCCCCAACCTGAGACATAATAAAATAGGATACATCTACATGTATGAAACAAACTTGTAACAATGACTTTGAACCTGTTAAAATAATACTCATGACAACAAAACAGTCGTAGAATGAGCTTCGTATGTTTCTGTGTAACTGAGTTCTTTCCAAGAATGGAATCTATACTTTTTTCGATGATTTTGCTTTATCCAAATGACCATGGCTTATTGATATGACAGTACATTGGGAAATAAAAATGTACATGTTAGCAATTTTGTTTTCAATATTGAGAGAACAAAATTTTAATTGATATTTCTTGTTTTAAAGTTTTCATTTAAGTTTGTGAGAGATAGTGGTGGTAAATACTGACTTGTATATATAGCTTTATGAAGGTATCAAAGATTCACATGTATTATTATTTATTTTCAATACATTAATCCCACCTTATGATTTGAATCCTTATGAATACCGGTGTTGTAGAGTAGGATTTCCCCCTTAGCCAGTTTTCCCCCGGAATCTGTACTCTAGAGTAGGATTTCTCACCGAGGGGAAATCTCACATTAGATCCAATTTCCCCCTCTTTCTAATTTCCCCTTTTTATCAATGCAGAAAGTCAGATGACACGTTCCTCAAATATTTATGCATGGTTTGTTTGAAATACATGGACATAACGTACAGTTTTGGTATTATTTCAGAAATTATTCATAAGTGTTAATTTCACATGATTTCTAAATTATTTTTAATTTTAATATGTTTGAAAAAATAACTAAACCAAAAAATGTGACATCAGCAATTCAAAAGATTACTCATAAGGATTATATAGGAAATATCACACTCCGGTATCTTGCACAAATGCCGGGTATAAGGTACCTCAATTTTTTTTTTGTTAGGTAACTCCTTTAAGTAGCAATACTTCAATGACAAATTCTTGGGATAAGTTGTATATTTTCGAGGAACTCGTCGTCTGACTTTAAATCATATCAACAAAATTTTGGCTAAAAGTTTATATGAAAGTCAACAAATTTTTTAATGGAAATGATTTATGAATGTTTTCGACCCAAGAATAGTCAAACTTAGTATGAAGTCTTAAAATATACAACTGATCATAATTGATCAAAATGATTAATCATAATTGAATCCATATAATTATAGTTCAAATCATTCAGTCTTAACCCAAAATTTTAACTTATAGGAAATTCTAAAATCAGTCACCCAAAAAATCGTAAGATTCGATGCCAGTAAAAACCCTCTGTCGGCGCATCGGTACCTGTTTGTTCACGAATTTTAAAATGTATATCAGGTCACCTTTTAATTTAGTGATTTGATAATATGTTTGTCCAATGAAGGCTTAAAGTTTTACATATGCATCGATCTTTTTTTTTTTTTTTTTTTTAACAAAGTCTACAATTTATGTTATTGATAGGTTCCACATACCATTTTCCGAGTATTTGAATCGAATAGTTCCTCAAAGGAAAAAACATACAAAACCAAATACAAAATAATACAAGAAACACTGCTTTCAAGTCGAAGCATAAGCAGGTCCTCTCGACCCCAGCAGTAATACTGGATTTGAAAGCAGGGAGAAAATACTCTCTTAAAGTTTTACAAATTTTCAGATTTTTAGAAATATAAAATGAAAAAAATTAAAGTACCATGGCAACGGCAGCTATTTTGAATATTTTAACACCAGAATCTTGGAGAGACACTTAAACACCAATATTATGTACATGTAATTTAATATATTTTGAAATACAATTGGAAAAAATATCTCTTTTCATAAACATATGCTAGTGTTTTGAACGTGGCACAGACTACATTGTATTATATACATTTTCTAGTTAACAACGTAACAACAAATAACAAACGCCCGTGACATCTTTCATATTTCAAATCTTTGTATTTTTTTATGAAAACAGTTTTTTTTTCGAATTGGTTTTTGCAGTCAATTTAATATCGATCGTTGAGTACCTGAACCACGTGTTCGAAGTAAAATATAAACCAATGACAGCGGGTCACTTTGTTTGATCAAGCGTGTTAAAGTTAATCACCATATTTCTCATCGATTGGATGTTTGATTTCAATGAAATGAATACTACTTTGCATATCAAATAGAGAATCCAACAATACACTGATAATATTGACCAATCGCATTGAATGATTGTTTACGAGGACGGCAGGTCAGTCAAAGCTATTGTCGGGTTCACTGCTCATTTGCAAAAATACTATTCATTTCATTGTATCAAACACCCAATCGATGAGAAATGTGGTGATAAATTTGTGAAATTTTAGCACATTCGATCAAACAAAGTGACACACTGTTATGGGAACGATAGTAGTTGTCCAGTTAATGTTGCTGTTCATTCACGATTGGTCTATTGTTCGTGGTATAAGATCCTCTGTGCGCAATATAACAATAGCCATATAAGGTAAACAAGGGTTTGTCATTGTAGAAGATAATACACTTTTTTTCTACCAGCGTATCGGGCTATTTTGGAAAAATTGTCACCACTGAGCTCCAATTTTCGCCCTTTTTCACAAAAGCGAAGATTAAGTAGATTGTGATTTTTACCCCCCACCCCCCACCCTTTTCTGTTTAAAATTATGAAAATCGCTCAGAAAGGTCTGGAAACACATTTTTCATAGAACATGTTTTTAAAAGAGAGAGACTATAGCAATTCCCTGTTTACTGCCAATTTTATTTATAAAACCAGTTCTATCCTACAACATTTGAATGGGTCAGCCTACACCACCTGTCTTGAATTTAAATCACAATAACATTAGTAGGGGTGCTAAGAGTAGTCAGTTATTTATCCGCTACTAGTACTATTATAATTCATGCTTTCGCATGCAAAGAAAAAATCCAAAGATAAAATATAAAATATGATATTTAAATAAAATATGATTCACAACTCTCCTTACTCCGCGACTCTAGAACAGACACTCTACCACTGCGACACGCGGGCGACAAAGTGGCATCATTTTGTATGAATACTGTATATAATACAGTTTTAGTGTACAGTGTTCCGCACTCATAAACATGTGATATATATATATTTATCATTTACTTAGTAGTAAATACACCAATTCTACACTCTGCGATACGCGTGACATCACAATACCCCATATCAAGGACCGGTCCGAAAATCCATATCACGTATTGGACCGACGTGCAAAAATCCATATCAAACCGGAAGTGACGTTTGTATAAAGTTTAAAAGTTAATTAAATTGATTTTATTTGAATATACATGTAAAATAATTCTTTACTAACATTTGTGGACTTACAAGTAATATGTTTTCAGAGACCTAAAATTGGCGCTATTAGATTTTAAAGAAAAAGGTCATAAGCATGCACGAAACATTCTTCAATGACTTTGTTAACTCGCATATTAAGTATTTAAATAATATGATAAATAGAATACTACATACTGAAATCCATATCATATGTCACATCAGCCCTCGGGCCCTATATCAGCCCGAGGACCGAGGGCTCACATGGGGCCACTCGGGCTGATTTGACATATGATATAGATTTTAGTATGTAATATTCTCTATATACTAGTTATGGAAACTCTGCCTCTCAAAATTCAGGACAGTTTTGAAATTAAATGTTCGAAGTATTTTTGCAAAGGGAAACAAAGGTCAAGGTCATGTAGATTTTAATGCCGGTATTTTTAATAATATTTTATAACAAACAGTACATATGTTAAATTGCACGGACTTATCTTTCAAATCTCAAAAATAAGCTGCATATCGGCTCTACATACTATTTTGAAAAGTAGGTCATACGTCAAGTTCAAAGGTCAAGAGGTCAGTAACCATGGTATTTTACAAAAGCTTTAGGGCCAAACAATATACATGTATGTGCAAAATGTCAAATCCATAAGTCTTATAGTTCTCGAGATATGTGGTTTCATGATGTGATCAATCGATTGGCTTGCGTAATAATTTGCATAAAATTATCACGCAAGCCAATCGATTGATCATCGTCATGAAACCAAAAAATCTGACAGTTATTCCTTATATTTACATGCTCTTGATTCTGCAAATTCACGAGCTACAGGCCCCGCTTCTGTCTCTATTTGTCCCGCCCTGCACGTGATTTTTTTTTTCACCACGCCTATCGATGAACCAGTAGATTTATGTAGAAATAAAGTATTTTTACTATTTGAAATTTTATCTCGGACAAAGACATCGGAAATGTAAATATTTCTTGATCATTCTATCGGAATGTAAATATCGCCAAGCGAAAGGTCAGGAGCTAAGAAGGCCTAATATGCATGTAATTCTCGTGCGGCTGTCTTTGTGTCTGACGCTAAGGAGGCCTAATATGCATGTAATTCTCGTGCGGCTCTCTTTGTGTCTGACGCTAAGGAGGCCAAATATGCATAATTTTCGTGCAGCTGTCTTTGTGTTTGACGTCAGTGGGCGGGGACTATTGAAATTGACATGTGAGGCCTCGTGTAATTTAAGTTTAT